TATATATAGATGTATAATTGACAGTATGTCCAGTGGAATGTTAAAATTGTTGAACTACAGATCAGGTTGGTCATTTGTTTTCAACCTTACAACTTCTCTGCAACACATCATTACAGAGACGAACATTAAACAACTTACTAATCAGATCTGTGGAGAGGTGGCCATAGTCGCAAAAAGCATTACTTCATAGATTGCAGTTTTTTTTTCTCCCTTCATTCGAGTTGCACAAATTATCTCAGGCTTAGAAATACAAAGATCACTGCAAAATGTCAAAATAAGAGAATGACTTTGAACATTATCTTCAGGATGCAAAAATTGCTTTCTTTAGAGCAGTGCACCATTATTATGCAAGGTATTTTGAAGAAAATCACCTCTAATTGAAGATTTGACTAAGGCCCTGTTTATACTGAGACGCTGCGCAGACGTTTCCAGGCTATTAACAGAAACGACCTGGCTCCTAATGCAAATTTCTCTGCGTTCACATGAGGTTGAAAAACGATGTAGTTCTAGCGCCCGGCCAGTAGTGGGCAGATAAACTTTACAACACGACACACGACCCCCAGCCCCGTGCCCAGCCCCCCTCTCGGCAGTGTACTCACTTCCTGTACCAGACCCTCAGAACACACCAACATCTATCTGCATTTTAACAGCAGCTGTGAAAATGGAAACTGAACCTAGAGCTTCGCGTGGTCTCGTTTGGACGAACGAAGGAGTAGAATTATCCTCTGTCCCGCGCTGGAAGCCCACGTAGCTAGTTTGTGTGGGCAGCGCCATTGTTGTTGATGTTTGTTCTCCGCTACTGCGCATGTCCAAATTTACGTGCGGGGAGCAGCGCGGAGGCGGGGGTCAGAGCAGAGGGGGATTTCACACCTTTCCCCTCTCGCGGGTGTGAAAGAGCTCCCCGCTGTGCAGCGTTTCTGAGTTGTCCCACTCTGCAGGCTGGATCTGAACACTTACGTTTTCACCCCCCTGGAACACAGTCTTCGTATGAACGCTTGGTAGCAACCGACATCCAACTATACCGTTTTACTGCCACATTGTCTCCGTGTAAACTCAGCCTAAATAAATGCCACTGTGGAATGTTCCAGACATTAACATCTCCATGGAGACAAGAAGGTGGCTGACCTCCCTAACTGATAAGTTACATGGTGCCTCTTTAAGTTCACAAGAGGATAATTCAGAAATTCCCACTGGGAGGCGTTTAACCTTGGATGGTGAATTTGCATGAGAGAAGATAATCTGTGTTCTATAAAAATTATTAAAATTAGGTCTCAGAAGAGTCGGCATTTCCCTCCTTTGCTCTGGACGACTTTACACGACCGTTCCTCTGCTAGTCTTTCTAGCATTAGTGCGAACGAGGGAAGGACACCATTGACGGAAGTGATAATGTGAGAAGCAGTGTGAAATATTCAACGAGGTATTACGTGTGCTGTAGAGGTAAATCTCACGCTCCAGAAGTCTGTTTGAGTAAGCGGCTTGATCCTTGACGGGTACGGTTGTAGTATAGTAGTAGTAGCAGTGGAAAAGCTTAGCCCTGCTGATCCCACCGCCAGCGGAACTAACCAATGAGAGCGGGTGGAGCAGGCCCTATGGAGAGAGCCATTTTACTCTATTAAAAAAAGATCTATTGTGAGGCTAATCTCTCGAAGTGCTGACATGCTTTGTGTTTTTTTTTATTCTTAGCTGCCCAGTTTCCAACAAAAGCATGGAATCTTTTAGGAATCCGTCAACAATCACGCAGCAGTCGTACATGCCAGGGCTTATCCACACAAGTCATTTTAAAATTCAATACACGACGCACACAAAAAAAGCTTTTCAACATTTCTGACATTGTAAATTCACCCTTTTGGACAAAACCAAAAACACTATGTAAAAATAATAGCCAAAGTAGAAGCAGAAATTGGCATTTAGATGAGTGTTTGCAACAAAAAATGACAAAAAAAACCAAAAATATGTGTTGACTAGTTTCACAGAGTGGGGCGCACTTGTACGGGCACTTGACTGATTGAACAGCGCACGAGGGCCACTGACCTTCTCTTGACTTGTTGCAGGAACAACTAGATATTTCTGCAATTACACACACACCAAATAGAAAGAACAAAATAGCCCTTTCATTCCTTTTGCGCTGAACCAAAATTGCAAACTTACATGAAATAATTGTGAGAAGCAGTGTTAGACCACAGCAAAATAACCTTATCTTAATAATAGATGATTTAAGACTTGATGCAGGGCCAAAACTAGGAGATGAGAAAATACAAGAGGCAAACTCCCACCAAACAGCGCTAAACTGTCTTGTGGTTGTCACTTTGTGTTAAAGAGAACTTACCGTGAAGAGTGGGTCAAACTACTATTTCAGCATGATCACGGCCTCAGTTTTCATTAAACCATACGTCAGAAAACAGAGAAAGGGGTGACAGGAAATGCAAGTCTTAAGAATCAGCAACATGTGTAAGTTATTGAAAAGAGCAAACAGCATTCAAAAGCAATTTTTACAAAGAGCAATAATTCTAAAATAATAAATTATTTGTAAGCTTCTGTGACCCAATAATGGCAATTGTCCATAAATACTAGTCAATAGGGAGTAGCCTACAACGCAATTTGTTTCATGGCACACTTCCAAGAAGCTTCTGCATGGTGGATGTGTCTACACAGCATATAGACATAGCTTTCTGATCATATGACGCCATATGCACAGTGATTCAAGAAAATTGCACAGAAAGTTGTACTGCAGAAGAGAGGGATAGAAATGAGCAGAGCAAAACAAATGTAAGTGACAAGGAGTATGACCTGTGAATAGGGCAAGCAAGTGAAGCATCTTGTCAGTCAGCTGTGTGGTGTCTACCTAATCACAAGAAAGCTTAACTCTTCCTTCTTGAAGCAAAACAATTACACTGAGGATTTAGTGTATTGTGCATATATATATATATATATATATATATATATGCATTAAATGTCACCTTTGAAATTATGGAGCAAAACAAAAAATAGATAAGGCCTCTCTTCAGCTGAGCCAAACATGACTTTGGAGGATTATAGTTGGGGAATAAAGCTACTCCCTTTAGAAATGCAGCTTAAAAGGCAAAATACAGGCTATTTCGGATTTTAGAAATGGGACAAGGCATTCGGTGGGTACCATCTCTAAGGACATAGGCTACTGTGAGAAATGGCCTAGTATTTGTGACAACTTGACAAGTTTTGTACAAGATATCCGAGTCACTGTACTACATTACAGATTAAATCATAACGCACTGACACTAATATATTTCTTTGAAAGGTAGGTCACACCGGGCACAACCTTACGCACGTGTCTCCTTCACACGCCCGTAGATAAAATGCAAATCTGTGTCATTTCATATGACGTAGAATTAAATGGATCATAAACGTGAGTAAAAGGTAAGCTTATCTTGCGTTAACAGTCTGGATCTCCGCCCCTCAGCGACTTCACATTCCTGGGATTTTCACTCTCAAAAGCTCACCTGCATCGGTCATTTAGCAGCGCCAGTGTGGCTTCAATGATAACAATCGGAGTCAAAGAAGTCAACATTATTCAGCAGTAAACTCGTGAAAAGATCGGCTCTTTCTTTCACTGTCCGTGCCAAGTTTTCATCCCGACTCCTCTACTTCTCTGCTCCCGAGCAAAGACAGCGCCTCAAGATTCCTCTGTCTCTCAAAGGTGTGCGTTGGAGGCGATAAAGGAGTCACAAGAGACGAATAAGAGCTTTATTGCATTCTGAATGCACCGAAAAATAGCTCAAAGTTGGTGGTTTCAATTGAGGAAAACCAAGACTTTTACTTTTTCACAAGACACTTTTCCATAGCAGACCCCAGAATGCATGCTTCCCTGGCGCACGGATACTTTCGCTTTCCCACATTTTTTTCCGCAAATCAAATCGGCAGGCTGTTATGTGTGAAAAGAGCATACCTCTGGAGGACTGTTGTTACGTTGGGTGAGCTCCTGGCGTGGGTCTACATCGGTATAGGGAAGTTCATATGTCCTGTGCTTTAGTCCCATGTGGCTCCATAGTCGTGGTAGTCGTGGTGAAGAAGGACAGGACCCTCCGCTGCTCCGCTCCAAACTCACTGGTCCCTGGCACAAGGCGAGCGAGCGGCCATGACGTCAGGCTCTATGTGGGAAACACTCCTAATTGGTTCAGATCCGAGAGGAGGGTGGGTGTAAGGCGGGTCTTGCTCATGAACGAACCAATCACAGATGAAGAAAAGTGTTACCTTGGTTACAAATGTTGTCAACTGTACAGTATCTGCTGAAAGCTAGGCTAAATTGCGGTTTGTTGGATGATTATAGGATTCAACGAGTTTCTATGTTTGGTAAGAGTCTACAATTACAGTATTATGATCGTTTGCAAGTGTGATATGATTAGTTAGCAAACTGACTGTGACAATGGTCCTATCAACCCCTGCTAACGTTAGAATACCAACGTTATAGCTAGCTACATTTTTAATCTATAAATGAACAAGAGTTGAATGGACCTAAGCTACAGTTGTAGGGCAGTATCAATCTGCCTCGGTCGCAATATAATGCGTATCACCCGTTATTATTATAGATATATGGTATCACCATACATGGCCCAATGTGAGACGTATTGCAATACCAACGTAACAATCACTACTATTGCAGTATAAACCACTAACAACGAGGGGGAATTGCATTCTTTTTCATAATAAAGAGAAAAACAATGTAATGTTCTACTTGGGTGTGTAAACTTTCAAACACAACTGTAACCTAGTTGTGGAATTGCTCCTGTGATGTATCATAAGTTATGCTTTGGAATATTTTATTCACTGTAGTTTTTGTAATACTCTTTGTCAATTGTAAGTGCTTTGTAAAAGGGAACTCCAAGGAAGCTGCATTAGCTTATAGACGGGGCCCCAATAAAACTTTATTTTAGCTGTACCCAATGTGCCTAAATATGTTTTGTCATGTATTGTTTTATAGGTATCTGGTGTTTTCAGCAGTTACGGCTACAACACACTCAAGAAAGATGAATGGAAGAGATCCACGAGTATTTTACACCAACCAAAATGCAGATTATGTTGGTAGGTTTTCCATGCATTCAACTTTGAGAATATGTTATAAAAGCAGCTCTTGCTGTTATAACAAGATCACTCATTTGATCATTGAGAATTTTTCTCATGTTAGATACTGCACTAGTGTAAGCAGTTGACAAGCAATGAATAATCAGGATGGGGGGTTAATTAATAAGGTGAAGGTCCTTCAAGTAATGATAATTTAAAAAAGTAAAAGATTAGAATAAATGTTTCTTGAATTATTTCATATGAATAAGATGGTCATTCAGATACATCATTGTATAATTGTGTCATGCAACGTTAAAACAATATGTTGTTTTTCAAATGTTTTGTCCTTCAAATGTTACCTTCAAAGTAAAACAAATTCCAAACAGCAAGTAGATTCCCAAATACGTTTTATGCATGTTTTCCTGGACTGCCACTTGCAGTTTTGTAAGCAACTTGAGTACAATTTGGGCTACTTTTTCACCCACCTCTGTGTAGCCCTTTTGACCCCATGTAGTTGAATTGTCTTGGTAACTGTCATGTCCGCTGTCAAACACGACTTGAGGTGTGTGTTTATTCACCTGTCAGGGTGACTCCACAGCTGAAGTGCTCAAATGTTTCTTGCACACTCAGTTGGCTCTCTGCTCTCGTCTGCCTCCCTCCATGCCTATACTTCTGACTTTTCCTGAGGAAGGAGCATCGTCTCTTGTTCCATTTATCTGCCTGTCTTTCTCTCTCTGCTGAGCGAGCATAAAGAGTTTTCCTCCAACATCAGAAACGATACCATTTTCAGCCACTTTCATTGATTCTAATTCAGCCGTACCATTTGCTTTCATCCATGCAGAAAGACTGACAATGCGGATGAAAAATGGCTTCAGCAGCCCAATGTGCAAACCAGCTGAATATGAAAAACTGCAGGCCATTATGGAGGCCAAACGTCAGGAGTCCAATCTGATCGGACATAAGGTAATTTTGGTCACAATCTAACAATCTAGCTAACAAAGTTGGAGAACAAAGAGAGCAATCAATATTGTTATTTTTGACTATTCATCAATTCATTACTTTATTATAATACTTAATAAATTCTGAATTTGAGCTTGATCTTTCAGTGGAGCTCTCTGAATGTTTTTTTTGTGTGTGATTATGACTGACCCCGTGTGGCTGCAAATAGTAATGAAACCAGACTACTATTTTTTCTGATGTTCTAATCCTAATCCAAATGTTTTATTGGCTTTGCATACACATACATCTATACACATGCGTGACAGCAGTCACATGGGTCTCCTTTTTCTTGTATAGTAATATTAAGATTTTTTAATTATCTATCCAAAAGGGAGCGGGAAGAAGCAACATCCACAAACAATTTAGCTCTCTGACAATTTAAACACTTTCTAGAGGATAAAGGTGTAATCTCATAATACTACTTATATGTATTTATGGGACACATTTATGCACATGTGGTGGTATGGTGGCTGAGTGGATAGCACTCTCGGTTCTCAGCATGAAGGGTCTAGATTCAAATCCCTGTTGGAACAGGGCTATTCTGAGTTGAGTTTTATGTTCTGTCTGTGTCTGTGTAGGTTTCCTCCGGGTTCTCCGGTTTCCCCTACCACTAAAAACATTTACAATAGCTATGAATGTAATGAGTGAGTGAGTGAGAGGAGGCCTGTCTCACATCTTCAGCAAGATTGTTCCAGATTTTAGCAGCATGAATCTGAAAAGCAGCCTCCCCATGTTTAGTCCTGACTCTGGGCACTAACAGGAGTCCAGTCCCATCCACTCTCTCACTCACTCACTCACTCAGCTGTGCATACAACTGTGGGATTTTATATTTTTATCTTTCTTTTTAATGTACTGTGATTATTTATGATTTTAATGCTTTCTTTTGTTCAGCACTTTGAGTTGCCTTGTGTATGAATTGTGCTATACAAATAAACTTGCCTTGCCTTGCCAATGGTGTCGGTCAGAGGCTTTGATGCACCAGTGTGTTCGGCGTCTCGCTTCTTCTGTCATCACCGTGTGAGGAGTGAATTGACCAATATCTGAACTCTGAACATTGTAAAGCACTTTGGGTGACCTTGGTCTGTAAAAATGCACTATATGAATACAGATCACTTACTTACACACTGTCAAGCTGAGCAAATAAAGACATGATTATGAATATGATAAGAATTATACAGTATACAATTAAGTTTGGATCCCAATATTACGAGGAAGAAACTTTGTAAAAACAATAATATACCATTTTAAATGTTTTAAAGCAAACCAAAGCTATAAGATCTTACACAGTGGGTGTTCAACAGTGCACCAAATGCTTTGCTTTAATGAAATACTCATGGCATAACCTTTACGCTAATGAAAACAAACAACATTAGCAGTTGGGTACACAGATACATAGCCACACATTCATGAATATTCATCTAGCTGCTTGTGGTCTACTATAGAAGTGTTTGAAGTTAGACTTGCAGTGGTGTAATGGGCACACCAGAGCAGTATCTTTACAGTCGCCCATGGCCTCTTTGCAGCCCCTGTTCTCTGCATAACCCAGATAAGAGTGACAACATCCTCATGTGGGCTCCTGCTGAAAGGCAGCTTTTCTGGGTCTGCGCACACGTCCTATTGGTGATGTGATAGACAGTGAATAAATGACCATGAGTTGCCCTGAGCAGAGATCATTTCTCTTCACACTGCAGGCAACGTTTTGCTCTGAAGATAGTAAAACCTGAAAATGTTGTATTCCTCGTCACACAGCAATAAAAATTGGGGTTGCACGGTGGTTTTACTCTGTAACAGCAAACCGTGAACCATGTCAAATATCATAGTCTAAACAAGATTCCACTTTTTTGTTTGTTTATCATAATAATATTGCATCGATTTTATAAAGCGCTTTTTTGGACACTCAAAGACAATTTACATGTATTTATTCATCCACTCCATACACGGTGGTGATAAACTCTAACTGTAGCCACAGCTGCCCTGGGGCACACTGACAGAAGCAAGGCAACCAGTATTGGCCCTTCTGACCACCACAAACCATTCACACACACACACCAGACTCATTCTAGTCAATGGGGGTGAAGTGTCTTGCCTAAGGACACAACAGCAGTTTGGCACTTTACAGCCGCAGCCGCCCCACTGTGGCTGGTGTTCCCAGTCTTGCCCAGGCTCAAAGGCCAATGCTCTACCAACTGAAACTACAAAAGTTATTGGCTCGGTCATGACTATGAAGCTTTATATTTCTATGTTAAACTTGTAATCTTAAATTCTAATTCAAATTTTCTAATGTGATAATCTTGCCCTTAGCAATCAAATTAATTGACCGTCCGAAGAAATACAGTATTTACAGCGTTGGTTAATGATGCTTCACTATTATTATCATTTCCTTCCTTAAAGACTTCTGTCTCCAGTTGCGCCACAGATAAAAGGATTTAAAATTCATAATTCATAAAATATAATCCAGCAGCGAACCACATTACCATTTACAAAATTTGCCATCAATTGCCATATTATTTTTATAAACACGGCAATGACACTATAGTTGTAATTTCTTCCATATGAAGGATAAGCTGTTTTAAACTGAAGACGTAATGTGGTTGTTATGAATAATAACAAATGCCTTGGCTGCTAGTGTAAAAACAATCCATAAACTATGAAAACAAAATTATTAATTATTATTGAGTCTACAGTAGCAGCAGTGAATTCTAAATACAAATGTGGCTGTGAGATTTCTTCAGTGCAATTATCTAAACCAGTGGCCTGTGGGTGGAAACACAGGGAATCAGTGCTCGATGTGCTGTGACCGACAACCTTGTTCTCCCGTTATTATAAAAGGAACCAAACTAGCGGCCATTAGGATTTGCACCCACCTCTGTTTGCATAATGGTGCCCCATACATGCAGGCAGCCTTTGCTTGATTACTCTGATATGCTGCTGTTATTTGGCCTTTTTGCTTTTTATAGTTGAGGTAATGTGCTGATGTTGACTGGATAAAACCGTAAAAATAGCAAGTCTATTGCTGTTGCTAAGGCAAGGCAAGTTTATATGTATAGCACAGCTCATACATTAGGCAATCACAATTATAAATAATCGGAGTACATAAAAAAGAGTGAAGATACAATTTAAGCAAACTGGACTAATGTGGTCATACTTCCTGGTTCTGTGACAGTAGTTTAACCTGAAGAATCACCATTTACAATAGCTTGTAGATAATATATTGCAGATAAATTACTTAATTGCAGATAAATTCTTTTGATTTTGTTTTCATCAGCATTACAAAGCAAAAATGTTCTGACACTGCATTTGAAAGCAGTCACTCCGGAGATGCCTTTGTTTCTCTCTCACGCATATCCCATTTCAAGGATAACAATTACCTTGATTAACGATTACATTGTTTCACAGGTTCAAGGGAGCTTGTATGCCGCCAAAGTAACCAAGGAGAAGTCAGTCCTACGGCAGCACAGGCAGGTGTGGAGCTCCGAGTGCCCCAGGCTGCACAAGGCTGCGTAAGAGCCCCCCGATTATGCCCTTCCATTATCTGCTGCACTTTTCTCAATCTACTGTTACGCCACGCAGCCATCACACTTAAGCTCCACACATCTTCTCTGAGCCGCTGGCCAAAGCTGCTTCAAATGCAGGCTAAAAAAGTGCCAAGGAAACGAATGGCAGGGATAAATACTGAACGGACTGAGGGGCGTCAGCAGTATACAGTATGTGTTACGAAGAATACTGAAATGGTATGAAATTTAGTGTACCTAAAGTAGTAGTAGTAGTAAGTAGTAGTGTTTTTTTAAAATGTAGTTTTAGTAGTTGCAGTAACGGTAATTATGTATTGTATTGCATGTATTGTAAAACCCGCTAGTGTTTGTAGTCTTGACCAAGCTTAGTATCAACATATGGAGATGGCTCCCCTGACACTGCACTGCTTCTGGCAGGTTTCCTAGTCTCATTGAAGGATGGGTCAAATGCAGAAGACAATTTTCCCTATGGAGACAATGAAGTATACCTTAACCTTCACCTTATGTTCGAATGGCCACATACAGTACATAATTGTTACCCCCATACTAGAATTATTTCAGAACCCAGTCTTTCAAATTGCACACAGCCTTTTCTTTGTTTCGCAAAACATATCAGATAATCCTTTAATTATTGACGCAGAAAATTGCATAATGAAGCAATTGTGTATTCCACGGTAGAGGCTACCCACCGGGGTTCGACGCGTTCCCTTCGTCATGCTTTGTGGAGGGAGAAGGGCAGATCTAGCTCCTGGGTGCCACTGGAATATGATGCTGTCTAAGTCGGAGCGAGCCAAGGTTAATGATGTACACAAGCGTGAGGCCTCGATAATGAGCCCCGTCATGAAGATGTGCCACCGCTCCTCGTGCAGCTAAGCCAGTCCAATTACCTTGGGATTACAAAGGCTTTGTCAAACAAGAGGCAAGACAATATGGATCTTTGCTGATGACCAGGAAGTACGACCACATTAGTCCAGTCCTCAGGTCTCTGCACTGGCTTCCTGTGGCTCAGAGAATAGACTTTAAAACAGCTCTGCTTGCGTACAAGTCTCTCCATAGCCTCGCACCAAAATATATTAGTGACATGTTAGTCCCATATGAACCAGCCCGGACTCTGAGGAGCACAGGGACTGGACTCCTGTTAGTGCCCAGAGTCAGAACTAAACATGGGGAGGCTGCTTTTCAGATTCATGCTGCTAAAATCTGGAACAGTCTTCCTGAAGATGTGAGACAGGCCTCCTCTCTGACAATGTTTAAAACCAGGTTAAAGACGGTTCTGTTTAACTGTGCATACAACTGAGGGATTTTATATTTTTATCTTTCTTTTTAATGTTCTGTGATAATTTATGATTTTAATGCTTTCTTGTTTTGTTCAGCACTTTGAATTGCCTTGTGTATGAATTGTGCTATATAAATAAACTTGCCTTGCCTTGCCTTGCCATGATCATTTTTAGTGAATGATGTTGTATGGCAGCTGGCGACTGAGATTTATTTGGGGGAATAGTACTGCAGCGGAATAGGGTGAAAGGAGAATGTGTGATTGCAGTATTTGGGTGGAAATTGTAAACGCCATGTTGTTGTTAGAACAGAGATTACGAGAGATTGTTTTGCTTTGTCTGGATTGGAATGTCCCATCAAACTTGTAACTTGCCTTTTTCTATTACATGTCTGTTTTTGTCTTTCAACACTTGACCTGCAGCTTGATATTTAAAGCAAATAACATCTCTATACAGTGAGCAGTCAGATACTTATTTCAAAACTATGCCAGGAAAGTTGCCTCATCTGCTTTGTTGTTTTAGTAACTTCGGTATGCCTCAGCTTGTCTATTTTCTTGCCTTGTCAATTGGAATATATCCAAGGCTGGGAGTGCAAGTACCACAAGTTCTTCAGAAGTTCTTCAGAAGTTATTAACCTGAGGCAGTGTGACTTATATTTGTGTGAACTAAAATTCTCACCACAAGTTCTTAACTGAGTCGAAACCCAACATCAACATATAATGCCAAGTTGCTACCAAAATATGAATTGAATTTAGTATTTGAATAATGTATAATAATGTGAGACCTATTTCACCAATTATTGTTTTATAAACTTTGAATAATACAAGACAAAATTATTAACAAAATAGTTATGCAAAATATGTCAACCTGCCAATGGGCCAAATTTATTTATTTATTTTTTATGAAGTATTAAATTAATTAAGTATACTTGTACATTTCTCCATTGTGAGATCAATAAAGTTTATCTTATCTTGTCTTATTCTGAAAAATGTCAATGTTTTTTGATGTGTTTTTTATTTCAGTTCAAAAACTTGCATTATGAACAAATGTATTGATATTATTTTCTGAAAAAAGGGCTTATATATTTCTTAACAAAGATGTCCAGGAAATGCTCGTAACCCTCTATAAATGCCCCCCGACCCATGAGTTGAGACCCACTGCTCTTTACTATCTTGTCTGACAGGAAGAAGATGGAGGACGACATCCAGGACTTCTTGCAGCAAATCAGACCAAGCGACAGAACCGACACGGCCGTCTTCTCTCTCCAAGAATATGGTGAAGTGTGGTCTTTAGCTTTAGCTTCATCCACTCCGAGGTTATGTAAGTGCTCTCTGAATAATGTCATGTGTGCTTGTGGGTGAAGAGCTGTGTCTGGAGAGGGAGAGGCAGGCCTTCAGGAGGGCCACTGTGGAGCCTGTTCTTCAGCTCAGAGACGACCTCCGCTACAGACTGAGTGAAGGACTAAACCAGCCACTTCACGTCCATGAGTCAGATTGGGATCAGGTGCTACAGCAGGTACAGTAACTCATAGGTATTCAAGCATCATCTCATCTACGGCTCACATTTGTCCTGGTACTTATTTTAAAGTTCTAAAATACAACACATTTCTAATACTACTATGCAAAAAGTCATAAAATATAGTGTTTAGACAATAAAAATATATGTAATATGTAAAAATATTTACAGCATTTACCAGGCTCTCCTTTTTAGTCAACTAACTGATCGACAGGACATTGGTTTATTTTTTGACCACTACAGCCCAGGTTTTAAAAAATAATATTTCCAGTCGATATTGTCGGTCTTAAAGCAAGATTTTCCGATGTGACAAGCTATAATCTCACTTTGGAATGAGAAAAAACATCTCTCTGGGCTTGAAACAAATTGACTGAAATCAAGATAAATAAAACCTGATCCAAGCAACATTTTACTTGATAATTCTCTGGTTCAGGTTTTTACTTTATTATTTTTTAACGTTCCAGGTAACTAGTTGGAAATGTCTTCATTATTGTAAGTCAGTTCAAAAGAAAAAAAACTTGAATTGAAGTAATGTTTCACTATAATCCACATTTATAACTGCTATTTATAGTTTTTCTTATTTTTTCTTTTGTAGTTTGTGAAATTGGAATGGCTCAACTGATACAACCAAATAGGCGTGTTAAACAGAAACAAACTTTGTGATAAAATATCTAAAAGTGGCAATTAAATGATGGAACTAGCTGCAGTTCCCAGCTTTCACAAACCAACTGGGGATTTTTTATATGATGAACACCTACATCGTTCATAAAAAGACTAAAGCCCCTTCTATTGTTTTTTTTGGGGCTTGTTTCATATATGGTACCCTTAACTCACAAAGGGTTCTAAACTGCACACTAGACGGGGAGATTAAGAAGTAAGTTGTCTTTCATTAAGGAACAGCCAATTTGGGTCTTGTGTTTGGCTAAGATTTTTTTTTCCCATGACCTCAGTCTGTTTTTCAAAACCCGACTCTGTCTATCATATAGATTGGGTTCCTAAAATGTATCTTTCTTTTATGCTGATAAATAAATTAAAATGAAAGAACATTGCAGCCTTCCGTTGTAGACATTACTTTTCTGTAGTGCAAAAACGTGTTGCTGAACTATCTCCTTGTCACTGCAAAGCTGACATTTTCGGCCTGATCCTATCACTGCTCCAATATACCTGCTAACTTCAGCGGACTGGTGATATCTGCTCATGTCTGAAAAAAATATTCAGCTCAAATAAATAGTCACATAAAGTTGGAATAGAAACTGATTTGAGAAAACTCTCTTTGTGCTTCCAAAATTGTATTAATTTGTAACTATTCTTCAAAATGAAGATCTTGTCAAATCCAAAAATAGGCAATACAAAACAAAACAAAAACAATTGGAAACTGAAAATCACTGTTCTGGAATTCTTCATGGAATTATTTTTACCTTCATAGTATGGCTTAAACTTGTCAACCAAGATACATGTTAGATCTGACAAAACAGTAATAATGTTTGTCATCAATTGTCATTGTTCAGAAGTTCATTTAAACATTACTGTTATGTAACTTAAATATTCAAATTTGCAGATTTTTTATAAGCTGTGAGCCATAATTATCAAGATAACATCAAACAATAGCTTGATATATCTCAGTGTGCGTGTAATTATTCTGTCATGTATTAGTTTTACATTGTAAAATGAATTACAGGCGTCATGTGTCTTCATCTTTATTAGAAAACACCTTTTTACATACGGAGAGATGATTGGCTGAGTGAGTGCTGGCAGGTTCTTTTTCACTCAAATTGTTGATCCCGGCAAGGCAACCCTTAGTGCTTAACAAAATAAGACAGAAACAATCACACAAGGCATTAAAATCCAAAATTAAAATCCAAACACACACACACGCACACGCACACACGCACAAAAAGAGTGAAGATAAAATCCTTCAGTTGTTTGCAGATATGACAGAGGCTAATAGTTTTGAGATCAAGGAACCAGTTGCATTTATTTTGGGAAATTCAAAGTTACAGTATACTCTTGCTTTTAAACATTTGGTTAACTTGAACAGAATGTTACTCTTCTTATGACCAGTAGCCCTTTCTAAATGAGCTTCCTGTTCTGCTGAGTCTTAATGAACTAAATTAGCTACTTCTCATTCACGGTTCCTCAGGTTGAATTAATACAAGGCAATACCACTTCCTCCTGTTGCACTATACCATCCCAGCCAATTCATATTAACAGGACACGGCTAGACCTTAACATGCACCACCTTCTCCCGCAACCCGTGGGAGTCATCTGCAAATTAGCTAAATCATCTCACGCTCAATACCCCTAAACAGAACAGATCGCAATGTGACCGAATAAGAAGCCAGATACAGTAGCTCCCGGCTTTACACATTATTCCTGGTTTTATTGCACAATCAAGTGGTCAAAGCCTACATTATTTTCTTATTCAAAAAACTCTTTCTTTATGTTGCTAGGTAAACGTTGTCAAGGAGCAGCAGGCGAACATCACCACAAAACTTCAAGATGAGTACAATGCAGTGGAGGCAGAAGTCTCAGCTCTGGGCTTGGAGGTATCCTGACATTTTGTGTGATGATTTTAAATACGCAATTTGGATTCCATGGGAGCAGATCTCTATCTAAATGTAGGCATCCCCAAGGTTTCTCACTTTTTCCCTTGGGTTTTGAGTTTTTCCTTACCGATGCAGGTGGGTCTGTGAGAGGCTTGCGAGGGTCTAACCAAAGGGACAGTGGTGATGATCCAGGACATTCAACATTATGGACATTTATCAACACTTATGGACCAATGTGTTTTCTGTTGTATTTCTTGTGTTTCAACTGTTTGATTCTCTGATCTGTGTTAGCGATTTCAACGGTTTTGTAAAGTTCTGTTGTGATTTAGGGCTAAGAATACATTGAATTTAAGTGAATTGATAAACATCTGTTTTGCTAATTGTCTTAAATTGCAGGACATGCTGAGTGTGCCTTCGGATGCGGAGACGACGGATGTTGTCCCCAGGGTTGTTGTGGACGAAGACTGTCCCTACCCTGAGCTGAAAGATTCCCTGATTGAGGCTTTCCATTCGCTGTCGGAGAGGTACAGGGAGAGGCTGGAAAGGATACAAGAGCAGTTGGATCAGACTGACAGGTGGGTCTGATGGGTAAAGGTCTGCCGCTAGGATGAGATCAGTTTTCCTAATGTGACAGGTATTTTTATTGAAACTACTATATTATACAATGGCATTTTGCATAGGGTTTGGAGATGAGCCTATAGAACACATGTGTCAAAGTCAAGGCCCGAATTTTACATGGCCCGTTGCCTGCCATTGACGCACTATAACGTCAATTGCGTTTTCCGCTATTTTCATGTTCCCAGATGTCTATTATATCTAATATGTTTGGGGATAAGCTTGAGAGCATATTGAATCGAGCCAGCAGGTGGCAGCAGCGCTCTCTGAATGGTTTGAAAACAGCTAGATGCACTTGTTGTGCCTCTTTTTTCTCAACTTTTTGGTGATTTCAGTAAAACTTCCCTCTACTCAACTGGGGATTACAAGCTAGAAACAAAATTATTTTTGCTGATGAAAGTAGACAGTCTATTCTTTCAGAATCTGGTTTCGGATTTCAGATAGTCATAGTACACAATATTCTGTGGTTCTTGAAAAATCTATAAAAATCATCAGAAACTGCTGGCAATATGGGAGTACCTGTTCTGAAATAGGCTGGCAGGCAATGAGTTAATAAACATTGAACCAGTCCGGCCCTCGGCTCGCAGCAAATTTGTTTTTTTGGCCCTCTGATGTATTTGACTTTGACATGCCTGCTATAGAACTACTCAATCAGTGATTCCCAACCAAGGGTGTGCAAACCATCAGGGGTACACAAGGGTATTAGATTATTTACTTATATAAATAATGTAGAGGCGACCATGTCATTTTTTGCACCATATCGAAGCTTATTGCGGGGATATTAGGGGCAATGAGGGATTATGCCTGATGAGATACAGTATGTGTTGTGAGGCGCTTTGTGTTGCCTTGTGTAGGAAAGGCGCTCCACAAATAAAAGTTGATTGTCGGATGGAGATGAACATGAACATTTTCTCTTTTTCACACCCAATATATGCTAAATATGTCTTTTTCAGATTCTGTGGTTGGGATGAGGACGACCACCTAAAGTTCACCATCATAGCGTCACAATACAACCAGGACTTACCCAACTACAGGAGTCTGTGTATGGACATGTTGCAGAGAGCCTTCACACATCGATCGAGGCAGCAGCTGGTCAGTAGTTGTATTAACACTTTGCACTTGGCACACCCTTATATGATGATGAACACTCAGAAAGCCTTGAAAATGTATTCTACTTCAAACAAAAAAATCCAATAGAATACATTTATGTTTGTGGTCATAATATGAAACACTGTGGAAAGGTTTATGCGGTATGATTATTTTTTCAAGGAACTATAGCTGTGCTGACAAACTGACTTGGGAAGTGTATTTGTATCGCACAATTCATACACAGGGAAAATAAAAGTGCTTTACAAAACAAGAAAGGAAATTTTATAATAATAAAAAACATCAAACATAGTATAGTGGCCATACTTGCATGAGAAAGCTGTGAGATTCCATCAGACCTCTGAAGCTGTGCAGGGCAGGGCCTGGTAAGAACTGTGATGGGAGACCTCTGGGAACACCATGCGCCACAGTGGAGCGGCTGCGGCTGTAAAGTGCCAAACTGTTGTTGTGTCCTTAGCCAAGACACTCCACCCACATTGCCTAGAATGAGTTTGGTGTGAGTGTGTGAATGGTTGATGGGGTCGAAGGGGCTGATGGCACATACTGGTTGCCTCTCTTCAGTCAGTGTGCCCCACGACAGGTGTGGGTACATTAGTAGTTTATCACCCCCGTGTATGGGGTGAAAGAATAATGACATGTGAAACGCCTATAAAAAACACTATTTAAAACTGCATTATCATTATTATTTATTATACTAGGCTTTGTCAATATTTATAAACACAATATTGACACAACCTTCTTATCAATTAATACAATGTAATACGGCTGCAGTTACCAGTTTTTAACTTCAGCAGTAGTGCGGCTGAGTTCACTGGTAGAACATCCATACATCCTCTATAGATCACCCTTCCATCTCTCTCCTAACGGCCTTCTGTCCAGTCTGCTGCGCCTCCCAATCGATCCAGCTTAGTACCTTCAACCATGAGCCCACATAGATAAGCGGCTACAATGATCCACTCAGCACGCCGCAGGTTTTGTGCAATGTCACCCAGCATGCACCACTCGCCTCCCATCACCATGACGACCCAATGACCAATTCTACAATTCCCACCTCCTTGTCATTCTGTGGCCGTGTCAGTTTTTCCAGTATTCTGCAGCCAGTGCCCTGATCCATCAGCCATCAGGCACAAACATGAAAGCGACCCATTTTGTCATTCAACTTTTATTTCAAAATTGGCCCAGTAAGTGTGCAAACTGCAATTAATGTTGCTATTACTCACAATCCAAATGCCCTATGTGAATCAGATAAGGAAGTGCGGCTAAGCCAAACCCTGATAATGAAGTGTTTGAATTATTTTCTTGTTTTATGGAAGTCATTCTTGTGCCAATTTTGTTTTGAATTTGTGCAGCAACTTTTAGATTTTTGAACATTTGCTTATATCATGTGTAGAAGGCTGTTTCCAAAGTTGATAATATTATTGTTTGGTGTATTTAATTTGAAATAACATTGGAGTAGCATTAATCCCTATTGTTATCCCAATTTTGAGATGTTTTAGCAATATGAGATACAAGAGATGGAGAAGAAAGATATTTTTTTTCGAGTACCACAACCCGGGCGCTGTTCAAATTAGATGGGTACTCTGACATTTATCATTAAGCATTCTGGAATAGCCCTGCTTACCTCAATGGGAAAACATACTTTTCAGTGGATCTGCTTGTGCTGGAATTGTAAGCTTTATTTATTTATTTATTTATATACCGCCTTTCACAGACCAGAGTCACAAAGCGGTTTACAATTGTTATTTTTTATATATATATATGAATAATGCTTGTTGTTGTGAGGTTTGCGATTCCATTCTCCTTGCTGACAAATGGATCACTTGGAGCTACATATACAGTTAGTGCTGTAATTACACTGTTCAAGTTTAATTTCCAGATAGCTACATTTTTGGTGGCTGGCTGACCTCTGTTGAAGGCTGTTGATTTACTCGCCTGAGTGTCAAGAACCGCACTATTTTACGATCATTATTTTGAAGAACAGGATGCATAAGGCCCTGGCTGGTCAGACTACATACAGTATTTAGCAAGTTGTGTTCATTCCATTGTTGCAGTTCTATTTGATTTTAAAAATTGTTTTATACAGCTTCAGAACAAATTTACATTTAAGGTCCTTCTCTACAGTCACGGGTCGCTGATGTACAGATCAGTGCAGTTAATAGTGGTGGGAGCTAACCCTGAATCTTTGCTATTGCATGAGAAGGACCTTTTGGGGAATAGCCTGGTACAGTAACTGTCACATGCCTCTGTGCACATGAATCTTTGCTCTGTATTTATATTAAAAAAAAATCCCCTCAAGATGAGGTCCTGCCAAGGTCATATGATGTTTTTCCAAAATGTGAGTTATCTAATTGGGGCAATAATGCAATCCTTAATCCCTGTTTTGTTCATAGCCACTGTCCACCTGTAGCTTTGAAACCTTACCCTCTCTTTCAGGTCATTGTGTCATTCATAGGCCACATGACTCTCCTCTGAGGGCTGTGTGAGAGCATGTCTAGTTCAGCCCTGCCCCCTGCAAAGCGATCCCATAGGTGCGGCCTATGCCTTGAAGCAGGGGCTCACTTTGGACAGATAGTTGTGGACAGTTGGTTTACTGTATATCTGTTTAAAGACTGCATTAAAAATACTTTAATTACATACAGTCCATATCAATAAATTATATGGTTTTGTCTTACAGTCAAAAATGTCAAGTTAATTACATTTCTTACGTACATTTCTTACGTCATCTGACAGAAAGGACAAAGAAAAAATGTCACCTTCAAAAGCCACTACGCAAAAGTTGAATATAAGGGCATATAAAAAGTCTTAAGATCCATGGGTGAGTTTTTGCTAAACAGTTGTAAGATATACAGTACGTAACAAACAAGCAACATACTTGTTTGGAAGGATGGTTAAAATAAATAATTGCAACTTTGTAATATATGCGTCAGATATTTGTTCATGGTTATCATATTGTGGAACCTTCAGATCGACCCATCCATCGTATAATATTGTGTCCTTTGAAGCCGACAGTTCCAGATCACATTTTAAGTTTACTCCCCAACACAGCTGATTTTGAAACTTGAGTAATTGATGCCACAACCTTGCACCGGCTGATTAAAGTTGGAGAATCTTGAATACTCAATTCTCTCGAAAAGCATTGAGTAAATGCCTCCCTCTACTGGTGAGGGCACCTGGATGTCTTTCACCTGCTTTGATAAAAATGTAAAACCTTCAAAGTACCAGCACCAGCAGGATCCTTCATAGTGCTCTCTCCCATTTCTCCTCCTTGAACTGCGACAGAGTGTGTAGAGTGTTCTTCTTGCAGACAGCGCTCCGCAGGGGGCTGTGGCTGCAGTGGCTGAACTGAAGGCGGTGTCATTATGAAGGTGCAAACTTATACACAGTGTGTAATGGATCATGTAAAACCCGGAAAAACAGGATTCTTTCAATGACGCTTTCACCAAAATAACTACTTTGATAGCCAATTCTTCCGTTTGTTCCTTCTTAGCAAGGAGGTCCTGGGTTTGAATCCCGGTCAAAACAGGGCTTTTCAGAGTGGAGTTTGCTGTTCTCCCTGTGTCTGCATAGGTTTACTCCAGATGCTCTGGTTTCCCCTACCACTAAAAACAAACAATAGGCAAAAATAAATCCTTCTGGCCCTGACCAACCAGAGCAATATCATCTGGAGATGGGTCCCCTGCACTTCAGTGACCCCTGCTCCTGGTCAAATGCAGAGGACAAATTTTAGGGGAATAATAAAAGAATAACTCCCCACCCAAATAAGTTACATCATACACCTTTTAAATTAAGAAGAAAAACCATTAACTATCTTATTAGAACCACCATGCTACATTATTTTGTCTAATGCAGCATTGCATTAATTCAGGTTCAGCTTACATTCATTAATTTGTCTTGGAGCTGGGAGTCAGTTAGCCTGGTAATATCCCTTACCGCATGCATAGAATATCCATGCTGTTGTGTGTGCTAGATACATTTTGAACTGTACAACAGCTATTGGATGTATGACAACAACGTGGAAACCATGGCCGAAATGTGTGCATGTATAGATGGATACCATCTGTCAAACTTGACTACGTGAATCGCGGTACGACGTGGCCTAACCGGACTGGAATAGATCATATTTATTGTTTAGCATTAAAGGTTATCTAATAATAGACAAGACATACTATGGACTGTAAATATCATATTTGAGTAAGACACTTAATGCACATAGAACTATCAAATATATCATAAATATGATAATTCATAGGTTGATACATCTGCATAGAACCTTCATGTTGTGAATCAGTTTTGTGGGGTGAGCCAAAGGTTTCTTTTAACGTGTTACTTTTACACAGGGGAATCCTGTATCTCCTTTTGGAGATCAGTTCATATTGAGAATGAAGCACATGGGTTTCTGATGGTATTCCAAGCCTGTCTCACTGATGACTGCTCAAAGGTGGTCTTTGGGGTCAGGTCTTCAGAGTGGACAGGGACACGCCATGGTCTCACCTGTAGTTTTTGCAATCTGAGCATCTGTAATTTATTTGTTTCAGTCCGATTACCAAACCAGCTCACCATTCCAGATCTCAGCACATATTCAGTGCTCCCACTACAGAAAGTCAACATAATATTTTGACTGACCCCAAATACTTTAATCCTTCCAAGAAAGTATAAACGCTGATGGATCTTTGCACACTGATGTACTAGACCCGTTAATCTTCCATTCACACCTCATCTGTTTGCCTTTTGGCTGATCCATGTCCTCTCGGCCACATTTCTTTGCTGGGGGCATACAAACCTGTGTGCAGACAGGGGCCGTTGCAAAGGGGTGAAACTAAGGGTGCCCCTCTATTCATGTTCCCAATTTCTGCATAAATAAATTGGCCTCCCGCCACCGTCAGCTCACCCATTTTCAATAAAAGCACTGAAGCATCTAATGCCTTCCCTCCGTCAGTTAGCCGCTATTAGCCCGTAGATGAATATCGCTCCCTCTGTTCCAGCAAAGCGGCCAAGTGATGCAGCCCCCACGAGCATGCTGACACAATGATGAATCGCTTCAGGGCCAGTCTCACACACAACGGAACAGGACATTTCACAGACGAGACAGGAGAAAGAGCTTTGAAATAGCACAGGTGCAGGTGACGTTCTGTTAATAGACATATGCCTGTAAAGAACAAACAGCAGGTTTTATTTACATTGGGATGATGTGATTCTTATAGATTAGGGGGGTTATTGCGGAGCCGTTGTTTAGACATTTATTCAAACCCTGTCTGAATTGTGTAGAGCCCAATTGAATAAAACACCATTAACAGAACAATACATTCGCTACAAAAATGAAACAAACTTCTTTGTGTCCCTCATTTTCTAACTTGTGCATATCCAGTTGTAAAAAGAAGAGCATCATCAACAAAATAATTATGTGACAAATGTGTTGTGCTTCAAAACTTTGCACACACATTTGAAATAGCAGCGACCACCACCACTTTTTATCCTTTGTAAAATGAGGGCATTTATTCTATTGTGATGAAAATCACTGTGCTCCATCAAATGTTTGAAAAGGTTTTGTCTAGAATAATTGTTGAAGAATTCGAGGGAAGTCAATGAATGGTTTAAACTTGAAACACACTCAAACACTAACTTTTGGCTTCAGCACAATATTCAGCCAAATTGTAAATTGTTAAGTAATTATGATTGGTAGCTGAGTGAAACACAAACAAGATTTTAACCCAGTTTTTCAATGGGCCTATATCTTTACAAGTACCTTAGTAAGAGTAGCCACATCTAACCGATCTTCCAAGTGCCCTTAAAACCATTCTCTGTGTCTCTAAAATGCAGCAGCACCCATATGTCTTTATGTTTTCTCATTTCTTGTGGTCAGTTGGAGCACGAGCAGCAGTGGCGCTGGCAGAACTTCACGCAGAGTCAGTGGAGGGCAGTGAAACAGAAGTGGTACAGGGACCAGGACGAGCTGCTGACCCGGGCCCTGGTCACTCTGCACGAGGCCAAACACGCCCACCAGGAGGCGCTAGACATTCACAGGGACAGACAGCAGCAGCGTGACATCTGTGACCAGCTCCACGCCAAGGTCAGTGTGCAGGTGTCTCTGTTGGTCATATACTCTACAACCAAGATGAGGATTTATTATTTTTGTTTATATAAAGTAATATGAACATGTGTATTTACTGCAAAATACAAACCTGATTTTTTGCTGTCACATATAGCAAATCGCAAACCCTGCAATTATTTAAGTGTGAAAAACAAATTATTTAAAGGTGAGAAACAAAACCAATTGAATTTGGAAAAAATCTTTTCCTAAAAGATGTATCAATGGAACAACAAGTATCTTTTCTATCTTTATCCCACAACAGACCATTTAATTTGGTCAAAATATACCTTTAATGGTGACAAGGAATAGATGTCTCTGTTACCTCCCCTCCAAAAAGAAATACTATTTTAATATTGTATTTTGACTCTACCCACCACTTGATACTTTCCACAGTTCCAAAACAGATGGAAAAACATTGGTGTTGCTTTTGTCCTTTTGCCTACGCCTATGTGTGAGAGCAGCAGACAGGAGCAGTACTATTTCCTACCGAACACGGTACATCTGCTGACGAGGCCCCTCACACTACCACTGCCAGTCCGTCTGACAGCCTCTCGCTTTTGGGTGCCACTCGGGATTGGCTGCGAATGCAAACAAGCTAATAAGGACAGTCTGGCAAACACGACGATGGCGTCTCCCAGGGGTCCTGCAGTTCAAGATATTTGTGGGAGGCCAGCAAAAATCCATGTGCTGTGATGCGCTGTTGTACAAATGGAATGTGCTTGTCCCTGTGCTTTTGGCGTCATGGCCAATTTAGATGAAAGAGTATTATGATGAAGTGATGCACGCTTGAGAAGGGGGAGTGGGAAAAATGCAACTTTTGACAAATGATGAGATATAGACGTGTCCCTATATTATATTTTATTTTTTATCTATTCAAAAAATACAAAAAGTGTCTTGTGTAAGTATATACATATGTAAATGAAACTGCTGCTCTTTGGTTACCCTCTGATCCTGACCATATTGCATACATTTAGAAAAGTAAATACTAAACCAATTTTCATATTGCAAAAAAAGGCAATAAGGGCGATTACATTATTAGCCTACAACGAGCCAACAAATGCACTGTTTATAAATCTACAAATACTAAAATTGCGACAGTAGCTCAGTTGGTAGAGCATTGGCCTTAAGGCCAGAAGGACGTGGGTTCAATTCCCACCTCTGCACCTTCTCCACCGACTCCCACTGATGACTGCTGTCGTTGTGTCCTTGGGCAAGACACTTAACCCCACTTTGCCCAAAGCCCCCACTGAAAGATCAAGGCTACGCTCACACTCAGAGAGCAGCCGTCCTCCTGTGGACTCACCACCTGCAGAGGGTCAGTGAGGGGCTGGTGCTATGAGACTTGGGTGGCATCTCTGACTGCCACCCCCCTGACCCAGAAATGGATTAAGGGGTAGAAAATGGATGGATGGATGGATGGAAATACTAAAATTCTATGATTTAGTCGACCGTTACAGTTTGATAATGATGTTCAAGATTAAAAATGACCTTCTGTCTGAACCACTACAGAAACTGTTCACAATCAGAGACAGTCATTATGAATTGAGAGGAACAAACATGTTCATAAAACAAAAATATAGAACAAATGTAATGAAAAGTTGTTTTTCTGTTAGAGGGGTTGATCTCTGGAAACGATGCACAGATGAACTTAAGTCATGCAATTCACTGTACCTCTTTAAAAGGATGTTTAAAAATATCATTTTGGATGGCTACCTGAACTCAGATTATTGATGTTGATATAGTTGCTAATGTAAATGCTATTGTTTACATTCACTTATACGAATGACACTTGTAAAAAGGGTAGGCAATATAAGCATTAGCTTCAGCGTACTCCTTTTCGGTCTTTGTTTTCTGCAAATTTACTGTCCTGAAAATGTGTAAAATATACAAGTGACCAAAATAAACTGCATTCACATTCACATTCACATACATATAAACAGACACCATCCCTTTGCATATAAAGCTGAGGTTCCTAAAGGTTTTTATTTCAAGTATTGTATAACAGAAAGAGTATTTTAAAAGTCAAATTTTGTTAACAAATAATACCGCAAGATGTTGATATTTATATTTATTGATACGCTTGTGTATGTCCTTGAGAAAATGTACAATGTACAAAATGTACAAACAAATTCATTAATATTTGACAGGCTTTCAAACTAATTACAATAAAAAAAATATCCATGTCACAGCATAACACACAAAATAAGTTTACAACACACAAGTAACAAGTCACTCACAAGTGTTCATTAACTGTTTCTTAATTTAAACCAATTATTATACCAAACAGCAAAAAGATTACCATACAGAACATATACAGTGCGCATTCAGTGAGCTACACAGACATGGTGGGGGAATAGGACCTCACATATTTTCAAAGATATATTTTCTGGAAAACAACCCAGTACTGAGACGTTTCCTTCATGAGTCTTTAAAAACAGCAGGTGTCCTTTGGATAATTCCACCACATTTGCACAGTCGCACTGGCAACTATTATTATTATGACTCTGTGCAGCAATAAGGATGATAATACAACAAACTGCTATTTCACTCCTGTCACTCAAACATATCTCCCAAAACAAAGTCTCAATTTGGAACTGGAGCAAGAGTCCTGTGTGCGACCATAGACAGTATAGATGGACAATATTAACTCCTTTGCACAATGAAGAGCTCATGGACGATGTTTTTCTCCTTCTCTCTCTGGCTCCTGCTACAATGCAAGGTAAGGTCCTAGATCAGTAACCGTTTGTGTCACACTTGCCATTTTGGGCTAAAAATGCATGGTTTAGTGCTCTCTTCAATCCTGGTGTTTATACTGTGATATTGGCGTAGTAAATCCTGATTTGAGCTTTAACAAATGACCAATCAGGAGCCTTCTGACGCCAAATTTGGCTTTAGCTAGTGAGTAGCACGAGTGAGGAATAGACCAGCACCACTCCTGATTGGCGCTTGGTAACTCGGCTGTTGCTACCAACAATATGAATTTACTTAAACTTGGTTCCACATTCCCGCTCAAGTAGCCTGTTCAAGCTAATCAGCTTCTTCTGCTTTAACAAGCACTGTGGGAAGCATCAGCACTCAACTAGTCCACACTCCTATTATTATACAATCTATATGTGAAAATATGTTTTATTTATCAATTCATATATATTTTTAGGAAGAAAACCAACACTCACACACAGGTCAAGGACATAAGAAAATCAAAACACACAATCTCTACAAAGCCTCAAGAAACAATGATATAAGTTTCTTCAGATGTCGATAGTAGCATATCTGGCATTGTGTATGCATGCTGCTGTGGAAAACTCTAAATAAACAATATCAACAAAAAAGTTGAAACTTTGAGTGAGGGGGCTTTCATCCTGTGGGGACCATCTCTTTGGCAGTTTTTGGATTGTGTTTCCAGACCGATCTCAGTAAAGTCACTCCAACAAAACCCAGACTGTCTTCAACATAAGAAAAAACCCCTAATAACTACAGTATAATAATCATATTGTTAGCTCAAATTGCAGACACAGATAATGGGGATAACTGTTCAGTAAATGCAATACTGCTTCTGAGACCACCTTTATTGCTGTCAAATACTTTTATACTATTACAAAGACTTAAATCTAGTTTATCTATCTGTTGTGAAGTCTATTCATGTCCTGAACAGCATTTTTAACAAAGGATTAAACAACATTTTTGCCTTATTTTTTGTTGTTGCCAGAAAGCATATTCTAACATTCAAAGGATTATTGTGACATATGGCTTCAATAGACTCAAAGGTGATCAAATAAAAAAAAAAAGTTGAGCCAGAATAAAGCCATTTGACTTCACTATTCTGTAGTCTGTTATTAGTTTTTTTTTTTTTTTTTTTCAAACAGCCACAGGACTGTTGCCTCAAATCTACTGTATATAATTTCAGGACCACCTGCTGACTGATCCACGTGCCATCACAAGTACCCCTGGTTGTGTACTGTAAACTCCATACATTGCAAAAAAAGACACATGATTGAGTTCAGTACATTACACTTAGCACATTTTTGCACAACTTATCAGTGAAAAACAGGCTCCTCTTTTCAATCAGGCTGTTTGTTGCACGCTCCTCAGGCTTCTGTAATTAGGCGTCTTTGTTCTTGCCTGTGCTGTTTATTCAATGCTTTAATTCTGTCCTTGCTTTCATTTGCCTCCCACTTATAGCCCACTCCCAGGCTCCTTGATGAGTGATTGTGCTTTCCATATGAGCTAAAATCGAGCCGGGAACGTATAAGTCCAGCGCAGAGAAAATAATGCACTGCCGTCACGCTGAGTCCTTATTGTTGTCATGGATACAGAAGTAACATACTCGTGTGTCAATGGTGGAGGTAATTGTTGTATCAGAAACATATTATTTTAATATTGTATTCTGGAGTTTAGCTATAGAAACAGTAAAAAGTCTGTGTATTAGCGATGACTACTTATTATTATACATTAGCTGGTGCTATGTGTACTGGGTGCAGATCTGACCTCCCGACCCAGAAATGGATTAAGGGGAAGAAAATGGATGGATGTATGGATGTTTTGTTTGGAGTTTGTTATTATTATTAATATTATTATTATTAGAATTTTATTTTTTTGTAAAGTTCTCCATTGTGTGATCAATAAATGTATATCTTATCTTAAGGGTGCTGGTTCTGATTGAAAGATTTTCAAGCATATTATCCATTCGTTCATTCACACTTTTATTCATACTAAGTCAAATACTGTATGAATTGTACATGACTGATGTATTATCTGGGACAATACAGATAGACTTAATTTAAGGAAATTAAATAAGTTACAAAATAAAATTCAGAATACACAAAAGTGCCATGATTTTGTGATTGTTATGTATTTCTTGTAAATACGCTTTTTACTGGAATTACTGCTTTGTTTAACCAAAACAAAATAAACTTTTGTTCAATATATGATACACTTATTATTGCACTCTGATCATGTTAAACACTGTCTTTTCTGTGCTGTGAGTTGATCCTCTCCGTCAATGTGGAATAACTAATTGCACTTGCTGTTTGCCTACCTGGCCATCGCTCAGACTGAAGCGTGGGCAGATGACATCTTTCTATGGAGGTAATTGCTCATAGAAATCACAGACTGAAACGGTACAGTACAGTACACTTGCTGAAAAATGTGGAATTATGCAGTCTCTTGTGTAAATGCAAGAACTGGATATATTTTTGTCTCTCTTTAAGAAATCATGCTTGGGCTTTAAGTGATGTGATCTTTGTTTTAGAGCAGCTTCACATATAGTTTATGAGAGATATCGTTAAAGTTTGGGATCTTTTTGGTTTTTTATGGATACCTGCTTGATGTTGTGTTTCCTCTGTGCTTCCTTTGACACACTCAAATGGTTCACAGATCTGTTTCAAAAGATGTAAAGTGACTAGTGGGCGCATGTTTACTTGTTTGGTGATTTTACGTTCTTTATTGAAGCATTCTTTCAGCAAGAGAACCAGATCAGGCCCAGTTAAAGTTGTCTGAACCATGTTTCTTGTGTCTCAGTGCTAAAGGTAGATGGTGTTGACCCTGGAATCCCTTCATGAGGCCTGTTGTATTTATCGTCGCTAATGACAAATTTGTTCCTCCTTGTTTCCGTATGGAGTTCGCACGTTCTCCCTATGTCTGCGTAGGTTTCCTCCGGGTGCTCCGGGTTCCCCTACCAGTAAAAACATTTACAATAGGCCTCCTGTATGGCGACCCTGCTCCCATGTGTGGAGTGAGAGGATAAATGCCCACAATTGTAAAGCGCTTTGTGACTATATAGAGATTACTTACTTACTTAATTTGCTTTTGATTTTTTGTTATATGCAGCTTACTAAATACACACATATGCCTTACAGAGGAATATAGTGTTAACAATCATTCAAGTGTTCATGGATGCGCTCGCGAGGTCATTCGTTTATTATTATTATTTCAAGTGTGGTAGCTTCTTTTTATCAAAGTTAAGACGCGTGACTCATCCATTGACATATTTCCCAAAACAGAAAGATGAATCACTCATTAACTTTTACTGCCTTTCTTCACACACTAACACAAACCAACGCCATTCAAGCTTAAGTATACATTATTCTAAATTATCCTTACACAAACTATAAAAATTCAGGAACTCGCTGTTTCAAAAATTAGCCACCAACACCGACAAATTATGATTGTTTTCTGCTTTATGTTCGTCATCGACCACGTTCAGAACAAAAAAGTCATCGCTGCCATTGAAACATCTTGACATGTGGTTACGCACATTCTGACAAAACCCATCAGTTAAAACTATGAGCTCAAATTAACAAAAGCTTTGCGCGGGCTGCCACGCACACATAAAGAACCTGTCACACTTGTTATTCTGACGTCTCTCTTTTTATGCGCTGTCATAAAAATCTGCAATTTTCTTCTTCTTCTCCTCGCAGATGCTATCCACAAATTACAGATAAACTCCCAATGATCGTTTTGTTCTCTTGACTCTGTGCCCTTCAAAACACAATATGGACTCTACGACCGATGTTTACAACGTGTCCTTGTGCAATATCTTTACATTTTGACTGCCCAACGCACACATGACATAACCTTAAGTCAAGGTTTGAAGCAGATGTTATGGACGTCCATGTTGTCAAAATGTGACCGCTGTTATAATAAGGCCATTCATCTCCTGGGTCCAGAAGGAGACAATGTTTCAAAGAATGACGTCTCAAAAGATGTCATGGTGTTATTAGCTTTTTAATACTGTATTTATGACTGTATTACTTCTGACTTTTCACACCTGAGTCTGTCTTTTAACAATTGGAGCATTTGATTTAAAAGTAATAGTCATCATAATCATAAATATATTTTTCACTAATCTACAGAGTAAAACAGAACAACAGTAAAACAACAGGGTTTGAAACTTGTAGCTCCTTTACAAAAGATATTCAAATAATCAATAATAATTCCAACTATTTCACTGTTTGTGTAATATATTTTGAAATTATAAGAAAGCACAAGAATCAGGCTCCTCAAAATACCAATGTCAAAGTTGGTTTAATGGGTGTTATTTTTCATTAAAAATTTGCTAGGAGAACGTCAACCGTTTTGTAGAATAATCTATGGTTTAGGTAGATCTTCTTTAAGTATAATAAATGATTGGACATACATAATACCATACATCATTACTGTCTAAATATTATTTTGTCTGTAGTGACATCCTTGAACTTTTTGAACTTGGGTCTAAAGTGAAACAGTTCTAGGCTTTGTCAAAATCCAGTCACCAAACACCGTCATGTGTTTGGTGACTGGATGTGCTAACGTGTCAGAAGTGATGCTAATTTACAGTTGGGCCTCAGGAGGAAAGTGAAGCTGAGCAGTGATCTGTAAACATGCTGTCCCGCTGGAGGGCGGCACTTCTGAATAACCAAATAACCATTACGGCAAAACACACATCAATCACTCTCTGTCATTGGAATGATTTAGGCTGAGAGATTGTCAACATCTTTTAGACTTTCTCCCATTCAACACAGATGAGCCTGTGTAGAAAGGACTTCTTTTTTTGTTTTTTTTTCAAGTTATAAGGGATTTTACATGGGACCCAGAGCTTTTGGCTTTAATATAGGTCCCTAAATCTTGTTTCTGGTAATATTTGCCTCAGCCGGGAAATGGGAATCGTTAAAACCCAAAATGTGGTCATTCTACAGTCAAATAGATCCTTAGCTTGTTCCCACTTACAATTAGAGTAAAGATCCATCAGAGACCAAAACTATAGAAAGACCAGCTCCAAAAGGTTTCCCTTAAGTTAGAATTTTTACCAAGTTTTTGAGGCTTTCTGGAAAAAAGTCGGTGTGGAGAACATGCCCCAAGTTCAACTTTTCAGAGTAGTTCATGTACTCGAGTGAAAAACTGACTTTTTTCCCTGATTACAAACCACCACTAAAGATAACTACAATATAAAAGTAATGTAATGTTTATTTATATAGCGCATTTTAGACAGACCAAGGTCACCCAAAGCGCTTTACAATTGTTCAGAGTTTAGATTAAAAATACAGGCTGTATCCGAATGTCCACACTATACCCTATATAGTGCACTATATAGTGGTCATGCCATTTTGTAGGTGAGTCCGAATGTCCAGAGAGAAAAAGTAGTGCACTGACTCACTCACTCAGTCACTATAAAGTCCCGAACTATATAGTGACTGAGTGGACAAGGTATAGTGTGGACGTTCGGATACAGCCACAGAGTTCAGATTCTACAAATACAATAATATTTTAAAGCTGCACTTGGTAACTTTACTTGCATTGTCACTCCTTTGCCTTTGATCCATCTGAATAAATAATATCCAGAATTAAAGGATTCTCATTAATGATGAACACATGACATGTTTTTAACACTTAAGCAAAAGTTGGTGCCACCTTTCAACATGTTGGCACTCTCAGCGGGTCTGGTTTCTCTCAGGCAGCTGTGAAAATGTGCGTTGCGTGTACAGAATGTTGCTGTTGTCATCTTGCGTGTTGTGTTTGTGTGTGCGCAGTTGCAGCAGTGGCGGGCTCAGCAGGAGGAGGTGGCCGGGCTAGAGGCTGTCATAGCTGCCAGACATCAGGAGGAAGAGGAGCAGAGGCTAAAGAGGGAGAAGGAGAAGGAGGCTACTGTCAGGACGCAGCAGAAGGAACAAGTAAACAGACAAGAACACTTTTAATGTTGTTGAAGCGCGACCAGTGTGAAGAAAACCTTTTATCCCATTAGTTCAAACAAGCATATGATATGTCCAAACACTAATAACAATAATAATGATAATTTGAGGGACTAAATGACAAACGGAAATGCCACATGGAGGCTCTGAGTGCTATAAAACGTATTAATGTATACATTATTTAACATTTCCTCTAAATAAGATCATGACATATAAAGACATTGGCAAAGTCTTATTTTTTAGCACAAGGAGAACATTCATTTTTGTAGACTTCTTGAATGTTTGTTAATCTTTTTAGATTTATGTTTCACTATTTACTGTTTCTCTATTTACTTAAAATAGTCTACAATGTTCTGATTACAATCTGCTGTTTCCACAAGGCATAGGGCTGGGGTATCCGACTTTCAAACCACAAATAATAAAATCCATGATGTGACGAGTTCCTCACTCTCCAAACAGTTTGGTTCCATCGCTAGTTTACACATGCATTTATATTTTACCTCTGTCACATCTTTAGATCAGCTTTTTCAGACAGAATATTGGAAAAGAAAGGACCACTATTGCTCAGCCAATCAAATCTAAGCGCAAGGCATCAAATAGTGATTCACAGATCTTACAAGTGTTAAAACGATAACATGTTTTCTAATGAGATGAAGACAGAATGTTGTGGTGATGTTTGTATTTGCACGCATTAATTGTGTTTGCATGTGTTATTTATAAACAAAATAACAGATTTAAGTACAAATTTGGTCTCGTCTTATATGTGTGTGTATTATGTAAGATAAGATAAGAGATCCTTTACTTGCTGTGTGAAGGAGAGGTTCGGCAGGGGTTTCTTCTTCCTGCTGCTGTAAGACTGTACAATGAATAAAGGATCTTTTATCTCATTTGTCCCACAGTGGGGAAATTTCAATGTTGCAGCGCACATTCAGGACAGTAGTAAGAGCACACAAAATATACAAAATAAGTGTGTAGCTGCTATGTTTCTTAGCTTGCTGTAAATGCTGTGTGTGTGTGTGTGTCTCGTTACTTACCTCTACAGGTGCAGCAATAACTAAAAGTCTGGCTGTTTAATTAACGCTCTCCTCTGTGTTCTGAGAGGAGGACATTGTGATTAATAGAGGCATTTATCGTTCATTGGATTCCATAGGATTCAAAACAAAAGTCTGGGAGACAGTGAAATATCTGCTCATTCCGCTCTATTTACACGTATCTGATTTGTGGCTGGTCTCAATCAATAGGACACAGCGATGCTTACCGAAACGTTAGAAGGGGGCCAATGGGAGTTCTTGTATACTTGCTCTAACTTCTGCGTGTAATGGATTTCCCGCAGGTGAAGGAGTTCTATCTGAAGCAGCAGAAGAGGAGAGAGCAGGTGGAAAGGAGAGATCAGGAGAGGCTGGCCAGTCTGAGAGCTTTAATGGTGGAACAGGCCAAGAGAGACAGAGAGAGGTGTGTATGGGACTCTCATTGGCTGTTTTTGGCATGTGGTTATCAAATACCAACTTTACATCTACCAAATAAATGTCTTTGGTATGTATTAAAAGACAAGATTTCAGTGTAATTGTTGCGCACATTACAGCAGAGAAAGAAGGAATTAAGAGCATTCAGATTGCACACATAAAACAGTCTATTATTTAAGATAATAGACAATAGAATCAAAATAATACGATAAAATACAATGGTACAACCCAATAAAATAAAATAAAATAATCTCTGGAGCTATAATTGCACTTGGTTCAGAAGTATTTACAATAATAAAGTTTGGTTGTAACACTAGTTTTTACATGCATGTGTATTTGGCCTCTTTTAGACTAAACAAGATAGGTGCTAAAACATGGGATGAATCCTCACTCTCAGCTCAAAGAGTCAAAAAAGTCTCACAGGGATCGTTCTTTCTAGTACGCAAGTTTTGTTTCCTATTAAGATTTTGATTAAACAAACAAATAAGATTTTAATCACAGTTCTGAACAGCTGATGTTCACTGAATAATGATACAATTGTTGGTCTATAACTACAGGTAGGCTTTTGTTGCCTCTTTAATTCAGTTATCATGAAATTCTCACCGAATAATTGAAGCATATTCGGTTTTAACTCTACCCTGTAATACAGCCGTACCAGTGGCCTTTTCTACCAAGAGAATTGCATTACATACTGTACTTTGCAACATCTTAAACACAGCGATCACATCTGGATGCACATCAAAATCTCATTGCTCCATAAAATGAACAAACAACTATTTATCGCTACAACCTTTACTGCAGGTCACAGCGGCCCGGCCTAATCTGTGTGAGTTTATGTGCTGTGTTATTCTCTGAGGGTGAAGGCTGATAATGGCGCTGCGGACTGGACTCTAGCTCCACTGGGTGCGGGTGTCAAAAGCTTCATTAATCCCACCATGGCCACAGGAGGGGGACAGTGGGCACACGATAGGCAGAGTAACACTTTATATTAGTCACTATTAACGCTTGTTATTACTGCCACAAGCTCAATACATATAGTTACATCAATCACATGAGTTAATTTAGAAAATACGCATCATAAACATCATCTTTTAAATTTTGATATATCGATAGAATTATACATCTTTTATACATGTGAAAATAGCAGCATTGTTTTATGTTTGTTTGTATAAATATATCAATAGATGTAAGTACATGTACATGTAAGTGCTTGTTTTATGATTTGATTTGTTTCTTTCTTGTTTGAGAAAGCATTTAGAATTGTCCCGTATATGTGCAAGACAAGTAAACATTCCTTGCCTTATGAAGATACATAAGGCAATGTATTTCACAATACATTGCATTTGTCCCAACAGAGAAACACACAACTCAGGCCACAACATGCGGTCTTTGCAGGACTGATGCTCTCTTTTTCTCTTTAAAGCTGATGTGACAGAGGCCAAACATTTGCAGAAGGTTGCAGAGAGAGCAAGGAACCTTTTCTTTTAAAGTCAGCTGTTGCAGCTTTAAGAAGCTACCATAGTGTACCATTTAACACTCACATGTAGGATATATCATATATATGTGTGGTTATTCAACTTCCCCTTAATGGAAAATATACAAACATTTCATATATATTTAAAGATAAATTATTTCCCACAAGGGAAATTCAAGAGACTATCAGTGGCCAATTCAAATCAATCTAATACCCATAATAGTGTTAGAACAAGCAAGGGTTTAATCAAGTGAATATTATTTGCCTCTTCTGTCTGCAGGGTAGAGTTTAGGGCAGAGATGCTGGAGCGGCGCAGGGGGGAGAGAGAGGAGCGAGAGGCCGATCGTCAAAAAGAGGAAGAGGAGAAACAGAAACGTCTGGAAGCTCTCCGAAACCAGGTGAAATGACTCCATCTGCACTGATCCGTCTGCTTTCCAAATCAATACACAGCGTTTCCATATTATACTATATATGATTGAGCAACACTGCCATCTTCTGGATCTTCTTGAGTATTAGTTTAGTTTCTTACTGCACAGATTTCTTCCCCAGGGGTCCACTTTGAGCCAACCTGTCGTTGAGCCATGGAGATTGTTATTGCTTTGATCATCCTGTTCTTAGTAGAGTACTAAGCAGTATCTAATTATTCCTCATTAAAACCCTGATATTCTAAAGTGGACTTGCAGAAATGTGCTAGGCTTTTTCCAGTGTAGATAGTCAAGTTTTAATACCACACTGTTGCAAATAACATAAAGTACATGGACACCTGCAGATGGCACAATGCTCTCGGCACTCGAATCCATTCCTTTCATTTTTATAAAACAGATTAGAAAATCATTGAATTACAAGTTGAATTTTGTCATAGATAAATGTAATTGTGTTGCCTGAAGTGATTACCTAAATGTGTGATGGTCTTATGTGTGGTTTTCTGGTGTATATTTCAGGTTGCGGTGGTTGCAGAAGCCAATCCTGAGAGATTAATGGCAGACACGGAGGCCTGGAAGTGCCGACATGGGAACGGGGAGGATTTTGAACTCCAACGGCCGCTGTACAGCATCAATACATACACGGACTCGCAGGTACTTAAGGCATCAGGACATTTTAAGCTCCCACCCCTCATTACCTCAGGTGGGATTCACACCCAAATGCTGGAAACTCCACTGCTAGAATTCAACACAATATTTAATGTAATCTTGCTTTGTTCTTTATTTGAATGAAATTATTGTTAGTATTGTTAGTTGACCAAGATTGAAGCCTACTTCTACAAAGGCTTCAGGTTTTCTTGTATTAGTACCTGTGGGTAGATGTGTCTTACAGTAAACAGATATTGCATCCAATACAATACACTCTCTCATAAAAGCATAAAAGTTCTTAGTAAAAAGTTCTAAAGTAATGTAAAAGAGAAAACCCTTACCCTGACATGACCACAGTAATAACAAGCTCAAATGTATCAAAATACTGTTCACTATAATGCTCATTATGTTTATAATAAAACCTTTCTTATATCACTGTGTTTGGCATTTTGAAACTCAAAACTTCCGTCCTGAGTCTTACATCAATTATTACATACATTTTTCTAGAATGTAAAAGATTTCCTAAACCTGTGTTTTGTCTTCAAAGATTGACGTTCTGACTTCCCCTCTGATGTATTGTTCAAACACTGGTTACCTGTGCCCAGTCATGCGTCTATGGACCTATAACCTCTACCTCAGGTTGCACTGACCAGTCAAGTCAAGCCTCTGTCAAACATTGCTTTTTGGACCTTTACCCACATTCCTTTGTTTGAAGTCCAGTGTTAATCATTGTGTAACTTTGTGACTAATACTGTAATTCTCCACCAGAATTCCATGGCCCTGAACGTGGGAGTTAGTCATAAAATTAAACCATAAAGACTGTAAATGTGTTGTTTACTTTGAAAATATCTTTTTGTTTTTCAGATTGTGTCAGATCCAAGGGTGCGGATTGAGCAGGCTCTAAGACAAGCTGGTTTACACAACACGATGTACGCCAAAGAAGTGCTATCTACCATCCCACCGCCCAAGCCTCCCAGGAGAGACACAAAATCTATAATTAAACTCTGATCCAAACTTGTAACGGGTGTTCTTCTTTAGCCAGAGAAAACGCATGGCTCCATATGTGACAAACAAGTCTGCATTGTGGATATAAGTGGAAACAGAAAGTAAACAGTAGAAGTGGTCACTGAGATAGAGCACATGAAAGCATTTATTGGTAGAAAAGATGCCTCTAGTAGTATGTGACAGGGATGCAAGTGTTTTGCATCCATAGAAGTTAAATAATGTGGGATAAACCAGGCAAAATTAAATCAACTGAAGAAAAGAAGCTTGTGTTCCATTTCTAGGAGTATTATGCAATGACATCAGCGAGTTGACACTTTCTATGTGATTACACTCTTGTCTGATGTAAAGCTCCTGATACTGTTGTTCCAGTTACTGTAGTCTCAGACCACAACAACCTACATTTTATTTGTTGTAAAAGGCTAGTAATAACCAATTTTTGAATTATATTAATTGAAATTCCTAATAATTCTTTCCATTATTGCCAAGTATATTTTTTCAGTAGTTTATTCACTTTTCATACAGCAAATCCAAAGCATACATAGCTTACACTTATCACAATTGATCACTTCTGTACAGTTGCACCAATGTTTTTCACTGTAACAAAACACTGTTATAAAAAATACATACAAGGTTAACAATAAATGATCAAACTTTTCAAACATTAAATATCTAGAGAATATATATATAAACGCCAAACGTATATTATATTTACATATTCACATTTAAGAATCCAGAATAAATTAGGCAATAAGTCCAAGGCGTTTTTTGATGAAGTAGGAGACAAGAATCTGAGGTCTCTGCTGGTATTCCACCAGAACATCATGAGAAGATGTGATTTGGTCTCCTTCAAAACGGTTCAGCAGCGCCACGCAAATCACAGCCGCTGTCAGGAAAAAGATGTGTTTAATTAAGTACAAACAAACACACATTTTGGACGTTTGAGTTTTTAAAGCTGTACCTTTGATACCACAAACTTTGCACATCGCAGCAAAAACTGTGGATTCCATCTCGATGTTCCTCACGCCTGCGTCGTAAGCTTTTCTCAAATATTCCAGTTTTTCTTCATGGGAGAAGGAGCAGAGAGCACCATCGAGTCTGCCCTGACCTAGAGGAGATTAATGTAAAGTTGATTTATAAGCGTTGCTAATTCATGCAAAATGTTGACTTCAATGGTCATTTCCACAAAATGTAGCCCTGCTTTACATAAAATCATATTCTACCTTCATAAAAGTCATGGGTGCACATGGTGTTTCCGATGACCGTGGGCAGGTTTGGGATCTCCTTGGAGTATTTGAGGAGCTCACTGGACACTCCCTCGTCCAGCTCTGTGCTCCTGATAATGACTTTACCCAGAACCACCTGCTCAAACTTGGCCTGGAAAGAGTAGTCCACAGCCTTGTCTGTGATGACCACGGTCCCTGCTGGAAGACCTAATGACAAAAGGAAAGGTACATTTAGAAAAGTCACTATTTATGGAAGAAAGTATGATTTTTTTTTTGTATTGATGACGAGAAGAAGATTGGAGAAATGTCACTTTTATTTCATTTTAGTTTTCTATGGTGGAGATTTTCTTTATATATAGAAAATTTATGAATGTATGGGACCAAGACATATTTACCTCTGGCTACAAATAAAGACACATATTTCTATTGGCTAATATTTTACTTTAAAAAGGGTTTTGAAAACGTGCTCCTGAAGTAAGCTAATATTTGTCTTTAAATGTATTGAAAGCTAGATATGCAATTTTTTTAAAATGGAAACGGTTTAGTGTTTTGTTACTAAATAAAATGTACAGCAAGAATGATGATTACTTTCTTATCATGTTAGACTGACGTGCCTTGCCCGGTGAGGCAACAGCAGGACCCACTCAGGTGTTTGTGTCGTAATGGTTATGAAATTTGAGCAATAAAATGGCCTAATAGATTTTTTGACCCCCAAATAATTCTACATTATTTATTCTTGTAGAGTCACACTTCTAATACAAAGTTCTGATTCCTTACCAACTCCTCCAGAAGTGCCCAGGCGGAAAAGCACCACATCCCGGCACTGAGCGTGGTGCAGAAGTTTGATCAGCTCATGCAGCATAATGGAGATCGAGGGGACTCCCATTCCATGCTATTCAATAAAGACAAGTGTTTTTTTATGACGTTTGGAAAGGAAAATGACCTGATCTTTTGCACTGACACTTACGCTTATGGAAAGAACTGGTCCCACTTTGTACATGCAGTAACGGTCGGTTCCCTCGCAAATGTCTAGGATATCGTCTGAGTTTCCAGGTAGAGCCAGCTCTTTGTGAATAAACTGGGCAAACGACTTCATGCGATTTGCACTTCCTCCAACGCAGACAAACTATATAAGAAAGTAAAAGGATGTAAGCAATGTCCAACCAATATCAAAAATTTTGCATTTCTTGTTGTACAAACCTTGATATCTCCAAACATTTCAGGCAGGTTGTGAGTCTTGGTTCCCAGGCTGAAGTGGTAAAGAATGTCCTCTTCCATTGTAAATAGATTAGGATTTTTCACATGGACTGGCGATTCACTAAAAAGAATTGATGCATTTTAAAAAGTGGCACATACGTAAGGATGATCAAGTATTGCCTCAAAAGTACTTACTCGATATAGTCCTTGTGCTCATTGCCCATGCAGTTCAACAGAATAGGAGCCATGGTTGTCGAAAATCTTGCAATAAAATCCCTCAAATTGTTTGAATGCAGAACTTCTCAGTCGTCGCAGTTATCCGAATATGAGCTATGTCTCAATGCCCGGCTTATATAGGGTTTGTGTGTTATCTTTGCACCGATTGGTCGTAAAAAGAGGAGTTTCGTTCTCTCACACCCACCATCCCAAACAAACAGATCGGGAGCAATCACCTTGAAGAACACCGCACGCCAACACAGATGAAAACACAGCTGCTGACGCAACGATGGAAACAATGGCTAAACGGTTTTGAGGAAGGTTCCTGTTATGACAAACCAAGCCAAGATAACCATTCACTTTGTCCTACTGTGACGGTCACATGTTTTGACACATAAAACATTTGTAAAAAAACAAAAAACAAAAAGACAACTGAAATTTCCAATCAATTATATTTATTTAAACTGAGATCTATAATTTATTATATGAATTCATACAAAACCAGCTTAAAAGGGTAAACAAATGATGTCCTCATTTACAACAATGTGCAAATGTAAAATAAGCCACATACATTGTCATTTCACCGAATGCTCAGTCTATAATAGTGTGTTTTATAAAACAAATGTAAAATGTTGCAGTGATATCTGACATCACTTCTGTTGCATCATCTGTAGAAACAAATGAACAAAATCAATACAAATACACAAAATGAGTCGTTCCTAGTTAGGTAGACAGACAATTTACTGTGAACGTACACAAATACAACTACACTTTGTTGAAGAAAATTTTGCACCTATTTCAAGTTAATGATTGAGAATTGTGTGTTGGAATTAAACACACATTTGCGAATAAGCACAATTCAACTTTTCTGAAACAAGCACTTTCACTTCATTTTCATTGCTGAATATTGCACCTACAGTTAGAATTTTGAAAGGACCTAAAAACAAACAAAAACAAATAACACCAGTTAATTAGAACCAGGATGGCAATGTTCTTTGTCAATTTCTTTTTTAAAGTTTAATAATTGGTGTCTTGCTGGGCTTTTCCATTTCATTTTCACGAGGGCTGGATTTTTCAGGGGACCATGATAATTTAATCACCTCTTGGTGTTGCACAAAATTACTGAAGAACTCATAAAAAAAATATTTATACCCTAACTAACCCAGAATTTAAACTGTCTGAGGACTGATTTGACCCCTGGACCGCAAGTTGAATAGAGCTGGTGTATTGTCTAAGAGCAACGTTGTGAATCATGGTGCACATACCCATCACATCAGGCAGTTGGTTTGGAGTCCCCCATGTATCCAAAACTCAGTAGTGTGGACATGTTCACAGGGGCTGGCTTCTTGTCAAAAACTCTGAAATTAAAAAAGGGTTCAAAAGTGTAATGTTGTTTATCTAGGTGAGCATGATGGGAACAGACTGTCCGCTTTAAACATGGACCTGTACTCAAACAACAAAGTACAAGACGGGTCAATAGCTGTTGCCAATAAAACGATCAAAATGCAAAGTCATGCAACTCTAGACATGAGAAAAAAAATGTCACATTTTATCTGGGAGCAAGAGTACATTTCTTTACATCACAGTTACATAACTGCCACCATATTATCTCAGGACAGAAGGAAATCCAGGTATAATTAACTTAAAGGGCAGTGAATGCATGTACAAAGTACAGAATATGGAGTATGAGAAAAATGTGTTTGGTGTTGTTCAAACCTGTCTGACTACTTTAAGGCCTAAACATACTTTTCCCACACTCCCCGACTGCGAGAGCCTGCGAGAGCCTGCGAGAGCCTGCAAGAGCCTGCAAGAGCCTGCAAGAGCCTGCGAGAGCCTGCAAGAGCCTGAGAGAGCCTGCAGTTGGTTCAGCAAATGCAATTTCCCACATGATCTGCAGGAGTCACGATGCCAGACTGGCTCATGACGCCAGTGTGCCCATAATTGTAAATGTAGTATAACAATGCAGATAGTCTGAGTGAGAGTGTAAAAGACTGTTATTGTTGGAGCTAAATATCACTGAAACACAGACGCGCTCGATGGACAAACAATGATTTTCATGAGACGCTTGGTATATGAATTTCATAGCTTATTCACAGTTTGAATAAGTGAACGTTGGCCTTCCAAAATATATTTTGTGCACCCACAGAAGGGACTCTCCAATGCAAGGGGCCCCCAATGCCGTTATGGTGAAGTATTTATGACAAAGGTCCATCTTCTTGTGCCTCGCGCCGATAGCAGCTTAAGTAGGGATGCATTGATTCTTCCTGTGCTCTTAAAGCCATCTGCTGGCCTCAAAAAGGATCCAGTTTCCGTGGTTGCATGACCTACGTAAACTGGTCCACTATATTCATCCTTCGTGGACATAGTGGAAATGGTCCAGTTACGGTAAACAGATTGGATATTTACACTTCAGTGGCATTGCACAGGTGCTTTTAAATGTACTCATTGTGTAACTTTTCTTGCAGAGTAAGAAAAGCCTGTCTCCATAGATATGGGGATGTTTCACCTGGAATTTCTAAGAGATTAAAAAATAGTATCTTTTTTTTGGCAAACGAGCAGGTGGTGTCACAGGGTCACCAGGTTAATTGGAATGAAAAGCAAACAATAAAATCACCTTCTGTTGAATAAATAGCAGATGTCTTTTAATGCCTTGTCTCCTTATTATAGTAAACTGAACGGAATATTAGAGTCAGTCTCAGACCACAGATTTTCAGAAGGAACCTAAATAAATAGAGCAGAACAGCTGAGAGCCAAAGCAAACAGGAGCTGCACTGTGACACTGTGACTGAGGCAAATAGACACTCACTGTGCGGTTTAGGACATTGTACACGTGTACAAACTGGGGTTGAACTAAAATGAAATAAAATAGATATTAGACTGATGTCTGAGATTAGACTGAACAAGTTGCATAAAATGTTATATGGTTTTTGCAAGATAGGTATACAAACAACTCTGTAAAAAAATATTGTAACTAAACCCAATATTTGATACTTTAAAGATTCCAATTGTTTTTTTAATAGAAAATAAAAAATATATAAAACCAACAGTATATGTATCAGACAAATGTGCTGCATGATGTAAAAGATTGAAACACCACCATCTAGTGGTTAAAGGTACTCACGTCTTCCTGAATTTGCTGCGTTCATCTTGATGACTTGGCAGTTTCTCCATCTCACCGTCAGAAGGGATGTTCTGTTAAGTACAAATGTGATGCGTGAGGAATGTTAAAACCCTGTTCTGATGTTTTGAATACAAAAGAAAAGTCACACAAATCAATGTTACAATAATACAAATATTATTAGTATTGCATTAGTAGTTTTCATGACCAAAAAGTCCTGATGCAAAGGCCATTGCTGACAACATCACTGCAACCCACATGTCGTCCAGTGTTCTTTACCATTATGTTCATAGATGTAAAAAAAAAATGAAAAAAGAGATACATAAAAGGATTCATCGGTTTCGCACAGGCATTGATTGTGGCACCAATTAAAATGCATACTTACTTGACTTGACAAAGAGTAAAGGGCAGGCACAAATCAGCAGGCAAATGCATTACTTATAGCCATGTTAGCATATGACCCTATCTACTTTGGAGTAGAAACGAGCTTAAAGTTACTGGAGGCGTTTTTGTTTACCTCTGTGCTGGCGTTACCATCATCCCTCTCCCAAGTAGACATATTATCACTCCCAAAGGGTGGCTCTCTGCGCTGGAAAGCTCTAGGGCTCCTCTTGTGTTCGCTGGTAATGAGACTGTCACAAACAGAAAGGAGCGCTGTGAATAAACTCAGAGCTGACAAATAAGGACAAAAATACATAGAAAGTAGCAGAGATTAATGCCAGTGCGGAGGCGGTGAGCACTTTTAATGAGGAGCTTAAGCAAAATGCAACTTTGTCTGTTTAATAACTCATGAAGGATGTTATGAGTACATTTTCATGGCATTCAAACTAAAATATACTCAGAACTGTATGCCACTTTTGGTGAAGAGGTTTTTAATTATTTAAAATGGAAAGAAATTGGTATGGTGCCATTAGAGTTGACTTGTCATGTGGACAAAACTCGAGATGCAGCAGTTATCAATTATTTTCATAATCAAGTTATCAAATATAACTTTTGATTAATCTAGTAATCGAATAGCATTTTACATACAAACTCAACATCCTTTAATGAATATTGCATATACGGTTTATACAAAAGTAATAAAAATTAAGGAATGTGTCATCCATCCAACCCCTTCTCCTTCCCCTCAAATGTTATAGATGTCCTAATCCACACAGATGTATCTTTTGTTATTACATTCTTGATATGCACAGGCTCTGAGACCTCCCAAACCCTCAAAAACAGCACGGGATGACGTGATTTTGCTGCTGTGACTATTGATTGAATGATGTCAAGCAGCAGAATTAAAAAAAGTGACATCTTAGCTCTTCTTATTTGTATGAATTTATGGAATTATTGCATCAGGACTCTGAAAATCAAGTGACTCGATCTAGGGGCAAAAATACTGGATCAGGAGATTCCTAAATTGGCTGATCCAGGCGTGTTTTATCGTGAAATAAAACAAAAATATATTACACAAACCCTATGAATACTGTAAGAGTAGATATCTACCTTGAGTTACCACTGCTTTCACCAATTGGGCAAAACCAGTCTGGAGCCTTGTATAAACGAGGACTATAAGTAGTGTTAGATTCTTCATGACACAAGAGCCCTGTTAAACAGCAAGACAATTTAGTGAAATATTGGAATGCATCATAACATAATCATGAAATAATTAAATCGGAATTTAACTCTATGTAACATCAACTAGTCTGAACATATCGCCCTTACCTTTGTACCCTCCTTGTTTAGCCAGTTTAACATATTCAGAATCACTAGCTAAAACTCCAACTCTCCTCCCCCCATGTCTATCATGACTGAGGGCTTTGAGTGAAGGGGACAGTCCAGGGATCTGTGAGAGGTGGCCATTCGCAGGAAGTTCTTCTATCAACAAACATAAAATGAATGCAATATTGGTCACTTTTCACATGCATTTCTTTTTACAATCAAACTTTACACAGTGATGAATCAAACAAATCTATAAATAATGTGTTTTTCCTTGTTAGCCAGTTAACGAAAGTTTGTTATACTTGCCAGGTTTAATCGACGGTAGATCATCATTCGTGGGCGTTGGAGGTTTTCTTATAGAGGACAAAAACTTTCATTAAAGCAGCTAGCTAACATGTATCACTGCGTAACACCAAGAAAGCTAACTTAGCTTGATAGCACAGCAAGCTAACTTAACTAGTGAAACCATATAAAACGGCAAAACTACCAACCGTAACAAGAATAAAGAGTAACAAACAGCACTAAAAGCATTATGTGCGTGAACATGTGTTGTATTTGTGTTTTACTCACTCTGAAGTCATGTTGATGTGAGAAAAAGGAGCAAAGTGCAAGTCCGAGCGCACTGTTGTTGAAAGTTGGAGGAGCGTTACCACGGAAACGGTCTTAAGTGCCCTCGTGCCCCATGCGCTCAGCTCGTGTCGCTGGAAGCTCGCGGTGAGGACAAAGAGTGCATCACACTCAGATGATCGCACGTTAACAGTAAACAAGGATATAAAAAAAACAAGGCAACAAGTACTTTACACTTCATTCTGTAAGCATGACAAAATAAAGAATTAGGATCGTGGAAGACGCCAACTTTTATTTTTGAATTTAAAATAAAAAGTGAGTGGTTGATGCAGGTGTTGCGACGCTCTACTGAAAATACTTACAAATTACTTTAATAAGCCGTGACGTGCGAACCATTTTTTTTTTTTAAATAATCTTTGACCATATGGCAAAAGGTCCATTTGGCAAATTGGATGCAGAACAAATCAATGGTTATGGTCCTTTAATTACATTCTAGAACGGAGACAAGCTGTGGTCCTCGAGTCAAGTCAATCAAAACAATGCCTTGACTGGAAGCAAATGTAACCTTCAACATAAAAGTACATTTCCAACTGAACTACAAGTACAAAAAAAAGAGACAAATTTAAACAGGCGTTAAAACTTTAGGGTATCCAATGTAGTGTCGGGTAAAAGGGTGCTGAGATTCACACAAAAAAGTGCATTCTAATTCAATGTTGCACTAAAAAAAGACCATTCAAATGAAAAGTAATTTGTTTACTGTTAAAAGTACAACTTTTAATGTCAATGTCGATGTTGGATTAAACATCTGTATGATAAGTATTATTTATATTTGAAGTATGACACATGCATGTAAGTACAATGTATAACAAATAACAAAAGCTGTATACGTAATAATTAAAAACACTCACGCTGAAGATGAGTATTGGTTGTTCTATATTCTTATTGCAAATTATTGTCTCTGTAGTTTTGAATACACAAAACAAAACAAGCCCTCTGTAAGTTTTCATACCTCATACAAGTCATACCAGAAAAATAATTCCATTCCTTGCTCTCCATTTGTGCTTTTTACATGCACGTATTTATGGCCTCTGTGTCACATCTTTCCATTCGTTTTCCAAACAGAAAAGTGAAAAGTAGAGGCACCCGAAGTCAGTCGATTAATTCTCAGCTTGAAGTCAAATAGTGACTGTCAGGGCTTTCATTTCTGGCAATTATAAGATAAAATATTTATATCAAGATGAAGACAAAAGTAGTGGTATGATTTGTTCACAACATTTCTATTTTACATGACTGCTGGGACAAACAACATGTATTATTAATGCAAGACAAAAAAGTGAGATACCCCAGCTTTTACTTTGAAGGCACTGGGCGGAAACTCAAGCGCGTTCTTCCAGCCGCTTGACTCGTAATAATAGTCGCTCCGCACTTCCTCCTCAGACCCCTGGCTCCAGCCCTCACCACTCTGTCGCCTTCAGAGCCAGTAGATCAGTCAGACCGTCTATGATCAGACCAAACACAGCTGAAAGGAGTGCTAAAGAACATGTACCTTTCTTTTATCCACATATTCTGGACCATCACGTGATCTTTCACTCTTTCCATCCCACAATCATCGGGAAGAGACTGCTGGCGCCATGCAGACTCGGCTTTTTGGAGTTTGCCAAACAAATCGGGGCCACTGCTGTTGGTAATTTTTGGGACAGAGTAGGGCACAATCATTTGACCTGCATCACTGGCTGAATATTCACAACGTATGTGCAGGGCTTTGACGTGGTAAGTGTGCGTAAAATGGTTTGGAATAACTCAAAACAATGTGAAATATGTGACCGTCTGCGCTGGAAGCCGCTGGAGTCTGGAAATTTTTTGTGTGGACCTGGTTAGAAGTTTGCTGAGGGTTCTGACTTTGATTTGTGTATAATATTAATTTACACACACACTCAAAATAACATTGACACCATCTTTCTGCATGGTTGAACAAAACAACTACAGCTCTATTGTAATTTAAAATATTGTTTTCTACCTGTACACATTACCGATTAATGTTCTTTTGAGTTAATGTTTTCTGTTTGAGCGTGATTATAACGTTTTATACAATTGAACCTCTTGCAGTTAGTATGCGTGCATTTTTTGCATTTATTTTACTCCTTCGATCATGCAAATTGTATATTTCGGGAAAGTCACTGCGAATCGTGCACACTTTTAACATTACAGTTGCCAGCATTGCACTTCTTTCTATTAACATGCATTAGATTCTAACAGCAGTATGTAGTAAACATATTGAGAAATCTTTGGTTGATCTTTTGCCCGGTGAGCTCTTTTACGCACCGAGTGGAGTGCGACGCGCCTGGAGAGACAATCAGTTGTAGAAAAGGCAAGCCTGATGAAAGGGCGCAAACTTCATTACTGAGGTGTGAATACTCGCAGAAAAGCCATCAGGGATAATTGTTCCGATTAAAAGACGTGTGAATGGGCAAGTCTAGCTGTTCATCCTTCGAATCAACTCGCACATTGTTCCAAATACTGGCTCCCCTGAAATTACATTCCCACATACTAATCAGGCTTTTGCTTCACTAGTTCACATCATCTGTGCAGCTCTGCAGTCTGGGCTTTTTATACTTGTTGTATTTGCCAATATATTAGAACTATTATGATGCCACATTAGTCAGTGATGGGCACTACCTGCTTGTTTTCATTGGGATGATGCTGATTTGAATCTTCCCAAGTATAGAGTTAAGCTTGTCTTTTTCATGTCTTATTGATTACAAAAAGAAGCATTATCAGTGTGTTGGCTGATTGGCATGTGTCTGTCTCCTTTCCTATTGTTAATTTGTACAGAGACAAAAAGGCTTACAGTGCAGTCAGGGTTTCCTTGAATGGGAAAAGGGAATTTTAACAATTTAAGTTGCTTAATGAATGACTCCATTTCATAGTTTAGACATTGACTCATTACGTGATTGATTGCTCTGAAATATCATGGCCCATAGCTGTTCAGTCACCACTGGCTGCTCGTGACTTCTTGCCTTTCACTTCCACACAGACTGGAGTCCCCTGATAGTAGTCTGATAAGGGGTCGTCAGGCAGTCGCTCTGTTGGCTCCAGAGATCCGGGGGGTCTTGAATTCTTGTATGCTGCCATTGTAATTGACCCTTTCTGTGCAAAAGGCTCCATAGTGTTCAAGGTAAAGGGTTGGTGAGTTTGTTTTTCATTTGGTAGAAGTGTTTTTATTGTAAATAAGGGGCACCAATTCCTTCTAACAGACGTGTACTGTCTGTAACTTGGCTTTGATTGTTGACATCTTTTGTTTGTGTCTAGACTTTAGGTTACAATAGGGAATATAACAGAGACAATACTGTAGGTCTATGGTCTGAATTCAGAAATTATGATAGAATGGTACTTTTTAGCTGCAACTGGTTTTCCAGGTTGATCTTTAATTTTTACAAAAGTAACGATTTGTTGAAAGATTATAGTTAGAAGTCCAATCAATTATAACAATGTAATGATGTTTCTTTATCTAAAAAGTCTGAAAGAATATATTTATGTTTTCTTTTAGGGGCACATGCAATTTTGTGTCTGGTGATGCCAAGTGTCCGATGGCTGGGGTTGCGTTGTAAGGTCAGACCAAGATGGTTATGGGTTTGATTCCGTGAGAAGAGGTTTCTCTTGTTTCTCTGGGTGAGCTGTGAATTCCTCACCCACACAAAATACGCACCCTGGAGAAAATTGTCCGGTAGCTTTGGTCAGGACTAGCTTTGGTAAAATGGGTCCTGGGCGCTGCACTGGGGTGACCATTGCATAGTGGTATTGAAGAACCCCATACAGGAATGGAGAACGTGGTATTTCGTTCTTCTCTTATTCAAGGTTTGATTCTCTGATCTGTGTTGGCTAATTCAACGGTTTTGTATAGTCCTGTGAGATAACTACTGTTGGGATTTAGCGCTATGCAAGAATACATTTAATTGAATTGAAGTTACCAATGGGAGTATTTCTTTTTGCTGAGTTGATTTGTTTTCATAGTAACTTTCATCCAAATGTTTTTATATAAATTAGGATGTTTATTATGCAGCTGTCCATCCATCCATTTTCTTCCCCTTAATCCATTTCTGGGTCGGGGGGGGGGGGGGGGGGGGGGGGGGCAGTCAGAGCGGCACCCAGTAAGTAAGTAAGTAAGAAATCTTTATTTATATACCGCCTTTCACAGACCAGAGTCACAAAGCGGTTTACAATAGTTATTTTTTTTACACATAGCACCAGCCCTTTACTGATCCTCCTGCAGGTGGTGAGTCCACAGGATTATTATGCAGCTATCTTATATTGAATTTGCAAACATGCAGCTCAAAGAACGTTCACCAATATAGTGGAAAAAGTCTGACATTTGGGTTACAACTTCTAATTTACCTTTATTCTGTTCCACCAGATACTGCATCAGACACCAATGACAGACCTAATCCTTTTCACACAAACATCGGAGTACTGTATATCCGAAAGCATGGGGTGAGCAGGGGCAAATCCGGGGATGGCAATAACTGAGCAGTACCTGTCGCAAGCAGCTGGGAGTTTGTGTTGAAAAAATAAGGGGAAAGGGAAAGGAAGCTCTCTCTTTAACTATGCTTGAGTCGTTAAGGGGGCAGGGATATGTATGCATTTGTGTGTCTGTGTGTGTGTATGTGGAATCAGGTTACAAAGTCTGTCATTAACAACAGCACTGCAGTTATGGGACCAAGATGGACTGCTTCAAGTCTGAGCAGGAGTCTCAAGGATTAAGGCGTCTAAATGTAGCTGTAGGTGGCTCTTGGTTCAGAAGAAAAGAAAAGGGCAAAGGCTTTGTGGAGATACTGTTTGTTTATGAATGCATTTGGTGGATGGATCCCAGCCTGGAAAGAGGGGCAGGATGTAGCTTGAAGTTGGACGCACAAATGTGGGAACTGGAGAGGATACCACTCCCCTGGCTTTGTTTGTACTTTGACTAGTGGGCACTTGTGGCACTGAAATGCAAAGTCGGCAATGTTTCAGGAGAGCACAAACATTTTTTCTCATAACGTTATTTTTTAGTATTCACAATATAGGTGCTTCATTTTATACACAAACTATTGACAAGTAAGCAGGTAGTAGTGAGTGGGATTCACAGCCAGACTTCACTTCTTTCTAAACATGCTTTGTTAGGCTAATCCATAATTCAACTATCTAATTTTTTGTCTTTCAGATAATGAATGGGCACAATGTTGTCATTTTAAGAAACTAAGTAAGTAAGTAAGTAAGTAAGCTTTATTTATATACCGCCTTTCACAGACCAGAGTCACAAAGCGGTTTACAATTGTTATTTTTTGGGCACTTGTCCTCTCACTCCACACAGAGACAGGAGCGGGGTCGCCGAACAGGAGGCGCATGCCAGAACTATTGTACATATTTTTAGTGGTAGGGGAAACCGGAGTACCCAGAGGAAACCTACGCAGACACAGGGAGAACATGCAAACTCCACTCAGATAGGCCCTGGTCCGGCCGGGATTCGAACCCAGGACCTTCTTGCTGAGAGGCGAGAGTGCTATCCACTCAGCCACCGTGCCGCCCAACTACCTTTTTAAAGTAATGTGTTTTGATTGAGAAAGTTTTGGGCTGAAGTAGAACTAAAAACTCCACAGCTTGTGACCATGTGTGTGCTTTATGAATAAAGTTTGACAAGCGACAGATCTGGCATCAGACGAGGCAGTGGGTTGTACAAAAACACAGCATGTGGCTTGCATTTGCTTGTGTCTATGCTTTGGTCCAGTCCTTCAAGAAAGGGCCCCTCTCTCTACCCTGTTATTTTTAGTGTGAAAAGAAAAAGAATCTCTGAGCCTTTCAATAATCATCTGCTGCTGTATGTAGCCCAAGTGTACTATGAGGAGGAGAAAAGCTGTCTGGGACTGGCGGCACTGCAGTCTCAGCAGGACTCCACACACCAGGAAGTTAAAGAATGAAAACGGCATGAGATAAAACGGCTAGAGACCCAGTTTAGTCTTGTTTTAAGCGTACATTGTTTGTCTTCATTTTATCGATTTCTTCCATTCTGTGTCCAATTGTAGAGACTGCGAGCAGACGAGACACGGGCATAGATCTGCAGTGTCTCCCTCCCCGCGCTAACCCCAGACTGCACTGGAGACAGTCGGCAATACACATTTTATGAGCCCTTCACTCGCCTCGGTGCTCTTGTCTTATCGCTCAGCTGTTAAGGGGGAGAAAAGTTAAGGCTTTGTTTCAGTGTGTGATCTCATTCCCGGAACCAAAGTGTCCCCTGTTTTGACTCTGAATTTGAATAGATGAATTGTCTTTCAACATGTGGGCTGTGAAATTGCAGAAGGGAGTTTGTTTTAATGGTGCAGGCTGTCCAAATTGGTGATTCGGTTCAGGAGGAGTGTGACAGGAGATGAACTACAACGTTGGGGACTGCTGAGATTTGGTTGTGTCGTCTTAGGTTGCGGTTACAAGCACAACCTAAAGCCCAGTTAAAGCGGGCCTAGGCCCACATTGCCATGAGATCCGGGCTTCAGGTGCAGTGTGACCGCGGCAAGTGGGCTTGAGCATGGTTACTGCAGCCATGCTTGGGCATGGTAGAAAGTGGTGGGCCTGAGCACGGTTGTAAAGCCAAGATTGGGGGAGTGGGGAGTGGGGGATGAGGTGTGGGGACGTGATATTGGGCGTCACATTACGTCTTCCTGCTGCACCTGCTGTGACGTGCATTTTCACACACGTCTCTACCTGCAGTCGCAGGCTCCCTTGCTTACTTCACTTGTCATGTA